AATCCTTAAGGGGTGGATCAAAGCTCCTGTTGACAGCACCCTGACCCAGTGTTTCTCCTGCCTTTTCTAGGGCGGCTGACAAGGAATAAAAGCCTTCAACAACAGGGTGCAGGCTGGGTACAGATGTGTCTAGCTCTTCAGTTCCGCAAGCAGTCTGAGCCTGACAAGCTCTACTCTCAGCACTTGCTAATTGACCAGAGTTGGAATTATTCTGGCACAGTATAACAGTATCCTTCAACTCAGGAAATAGGTTACTTTTATTTTCATTGTTTTCAGCAACCAACTCTGTCTTAGAAGGGGGATCTGGGTCATCTAGAGAAAAAGTTCTTGGTTGGTCATAATCTGGAATATATGGTTTGATGTCCAGCACTGGAGTTCCATCCAAGAGATCAATGCCAGAAAAGTGGACAGTAGCTCCTAAGGAAATAAAATAAGTGAAATAATGTGGAATCAAAATAAACACATATTTTATCTGGCATAAAAATATATGTAATGGCGTTTACATTTAGTTAATACAATTGATAAATAATCTCGGGCAGATGAGGCTCGTTAGCTGGGGACAGCCATTGTTCTAGGAGAGACAACTCCAAAATCAAACAACTGCTGCCTTGAAGTTTGTTCTTGGTTGGACGAAGGCTATGGAAGCAAATCCAAAAAGAAAAACAAGCTGAAATTGGAGTCAATGGCCTCAATGGCGCAAAACCAGTTGACACATAATCCTTAATTGTGATGGAAGCATGGTCGAGTCGGCAAAGCTCATGGTTGATAAATTCGAAAAAAGTCTCGAGTTCAAACCCTCTGGCAGATAAGGCTCGATCCCTTCCAACAATAAAAATTAAGAACGAAGAAGAAGAAGAAGATAAATAATAAATAATTACGGCTTGATTCTAACCTTGGTTTAAAATAAAACAAGTTGACTTACGTACCTTCTATTTTATCTATTTTGACCAATGAAAGACCAATATTGTTTGGCCTATACGGAGATCGTGAAGAGAAAACTCCGACCTTCTGTCCATCTAAACGAGGTGGCTTGACCTTAGCTTTTGTGTGAGCATTATTGTTTTTATGGAAAACAAACAGAATCCTGTTTAAATAAATAAAAAAACATATATTTCTTCATATATTTAAAACTTAACTGTTGACATCCTTAACATAATATAACTTTAAATTTTTATATAATAAAGCATGTTTTTTGTGTTTGTAGCAGTAGTAATTAAATATAGTTTGTGATTGGGCAGTTTAAATGTTTCAGGTTAATTAATTTTTATTAAAACTAATAATACAGAAAAAAAATATTATTAGATATTTATAAATAGCAGTAATTTTTTTTACTTAAATACATTAATCTTTTCTTCTTCTTTGTTTTTTAATTGTGATGTTGGATGGGATTTTCTCAAAACAATTAAGTACTAAGTACTAAGTACTAAACATGTTATGTGCCTTGTGGCCTGCTGACTGAGATTTTAACCTGCTCTTCTTTCTGGATTTACTCACAAAGCCTTTGTCCATTCAACAACAAACTACAGAATACAAGGCTGTAGTTGTTTGATTGAGTTTTCTCTCCTAGATGGGTAGCATTTCCTAGCTATTGAGCCTCATTTGCCCAGGGGTTCAAACTCAGGACCTTTTGGCTAAGCGACCATGAGCTTTACTGGCCCAACCACACCAACCAAACTAATGAAATATCATATTGTAATATCTCCCTTATTCCTGGCAGTTATTCTCCATATCTCAGCTCCATAAAGTAAAATAGATTTTACTAGTGTGTTGAAGACCCAGATTTTTATCCCAAGGGTTGAATCTCCAGAACACCAAACATTTTTTAGTTGCCTTGCCTGTACTTATTTTTATGTCTGCTTCTGTGCCACTCTACTTATCAATAATACTTCCAAGGTAGGTGAGGGCAAAAGGAAAAGAGGCAGACCAAGAAAGAATTGGAGAATTGACCTACAAGAAGACACCAAGAAGGCTGGATACACCTGGGGACCGTTGGAGAAACTAACCCAGCACAGACATACCTTGAAAGCTCTTGTCAGCGGCCTATGTCCCAGGATGGGTGACAGGCAAACCTAACCTAACCTAATATATCCCTGGTGTCAAGCTAAAATATTATTATCAGATGCACTTGCAAATCAAATATGTAAGTAAAGTAAAGTTCCCTTTTCAAACCTGACGGTCTATGGGGCACTTGTTTATGTGACCTCAAATATGTGGTTAGGGTTAATGGAGCAAGGGTGTAGCAAATACAAAAATCACATTGTCCAATTACCATGCATGTGAAAACTGTTCAAGTCCCTCCAGTGAGTGCTCTGGGTTATTGAAAATAGTTTTTTCAATTGTAAGGATACCTCTTGCTGTTTGACAAAGGGATGACTGGCGAGGTGTTCCATTTTTGTAGTGAAAGACACTTTTCATTGTGCCAATAGGCTTCATAATAAAGTTTCCATTCATGATGTCTGATGGTAAAATGAAAATAAATGAAATTCAGAATATAATACTAAGGATTAGATATAGGAGTATGTATAGACTAAGTCACTAAGGACTCTAGATAGATATTAATAAAAAAAAATATAATATATAAATACAAAAAATAATAAAAAGGTTCTTAGTACATACCTAGCCTACTAGCTAGTAGATTCTAATCTAGAATCTTATACTTATATCTTTTATCATATACTATACCATTAGCCATTAACACTACCGACTCAAGTATTTGTCAGTGTACTTAAGTGTAGAAGGCAGACAGTACTTAGTAAGTAATAAGTTAGTACTATGAGTACTAATGTAGTGAGATTCTAGAAACTAGTACTAGGCTAGTTAATTAATAATTATTAGTAACTACTAGACTTAGTAGTACAAACAAGTTCAAGTAGGCGTGGTCGAGTCGGTAAAGCTCATGGTTGCTAAACAGAAAAGTCTCGAGTTCAAACCCTCGGGCAGATGAGGCTCGTTAGCTGGGGATAGCCACTCTTCTAGGAGAGACAACTCCAAAATCAAACAACTGCTGCCTTGTGGTTTGTTCTTGGTTGGACAAAGGCTATGGAAGCAAATCCAAAAAGAAAAGCAGGCTGAAATCGGAGTCAATGGCCTCAAGGGCGCATAACCAGTTGACACGTAATCCTTAATTGTGATGGAAGCATGGTCGAGTCGGCAAAGCTCATGGTTGATAAATTCAAAAAAAAAAGTCCCGCGTTCAAACCATCTGGCAGATGAGATAAGGCTCGATCCCTCCCAACACTAAAAATTAAGAACGAAGAAGAAGAAGGCCTACTTACTTACAGTCACTTACTAGTACTACTAATTTAACTAATTATTATTAACTAATACTTTAGTACTTCTTAGTTCTTACTATTAAAAAACAAACAGGCCTACTACTACTTATGACTTAACTACTTAGTTAGTACTTAGTAGTACTTACTACTTACTTAGTACTTACTTACTTAATTAATAATTAATTAGTTTTTTACTTTTTAGACTTACTTTTTTGGACACAGGAGACAGTCAGGCTTATTTATCAGTGTGTGGTTAGAGTAAAAAGTTATGTTTGGGGTTGTAGTATCCCTTTGGCATACTGATATCAGACGTAGAATAGGGGATTTAGAAATCTAGATAAGCTACTTTCACTTTTTGTTAGAACAAATTCTACTTTCGTTTTTCTTCATGACAATAAAAATAAAAAAAGAAACAAAACAAAATAAGACATTGTTTTACATAGATCTATAATATTATATCACTTGCAATTCATTGTATTATTAGTACTAGTTAACTTTCTAAAAGTTCCTGAATTAAAATTATAATAAGTTAATCTTTATTATTAGAAAAATTCATATCGTTATTATCATTGTTTTGTAGGTTATATTGTAAATACACTTTAAAGTTTTTTGCCGGATGTTTATAATACCTTTCATTCCTTGGCAACGACGGAAGCACAATGGTTGTAATTAAAAAAATTAAATGTAGTTAGATCTAAAAAATTAGATCTAAATCTTTAAAAATTGGACGTCTATTACCATACAATTGTATTATTAATTAAAAATTCAAACTCAATGTATTAGTAGGCCTATACATTATTACATTAGAAAATGTGTTTGTTGTCATTGTGATTTGTGTCATTTAAAACGCCTCCTAAGTTTCTAAAATCTTTTTATTTTTTTTTAATGATTCAAATTCCAATCGGCATATTTATATTAAAATGATAATAGTTTTTAATCTTTAAGATCTCTAGATCTAGATCTAGATTGAAGAAGCTTCCAAAAATAAAAATTTCATTTAGGCATACGCCTAACAATTTAGTAATTTAATTAATTAGGCCTAATTATTACTAATTAGTAATTTAGTAATTACTATTAATTAGGCTATAAACACTATTAATAATAGTTATAACAACATATTCCACATAATGATAACTTACTTAATCTTATTTTATATTATAAGCCCTAGCCCTACAATCTACATTATTTAGGGGAAGGTAGATCTAGTAGACACAGATAGATCTTTATAACTTTATAAAAATAAAATATTTATTTAATAAAAAAAACGTTGTTACAATAGGCCTGCTAAATAGCCTAACAAAATAATTATATGACATTATACGCCTACTAAATTATTAATATAACCTTTTGTACTAGGCTAGGTCTTAGTCTTGCCTATTCAGCTTTTTATATTAATTTTATTCTTACTTTCAGAAAGCCTGAAAACAAATACTAGACCTGCATCAAGCACCGGTCATTGGAATATTACAAGAGTAAATAAAAAGCATGACACAGTTAAGAGCACAAAGGAACTAGGTTAGTTTATTAACTTGATTATAAGGGAATATAAATATAAACTTACTTATAAAATTTAAAAAAAAAGGTTTTGTTCTTAACACCTTCAACAATAGGCTTACCTTGTCTACATTTTACTAGTCTACTCCTTAACACTAATTACTCCGAATCCAAATGATATATTATGACAATATATGTAGGCCCTATGCTAAGTATTTTTCCACCTGTTATGCATGGTTGCTACTAAGCATTGATTTTGTGAGAAACCTGAGTTTTGGAAATGACTAGTTTTACTTGCTGTACCTCCTTAAAGTTAAAAAAAAAATATATTGATTTAGTAACTTTTCTCAATATTGATTTACATTTTAGTAGGTATTCTAAATGAGCCGAAAAATTTAAGCCGGTTTTAAAAAATTTTGGTCGCGTTGCGGCATCGCGCGGCGGTCCGACCCCATAACACATACGCAATTAAAAACTACTGATTTAGAAAGAAGAATGGTAGCTCTGTAAGATGGTATAACTTTACCAGCTGTATAATATAATTAAATGCTAAAAATGTTCAATTTAAAATTTTAAAATGATTTTTTTCCATGAAAAAATAATTTTACAGCCGCCAAAGTTGTATATTCCGAAAGGGCATCCAATTTGCCATAAAACTGTTACGATTTAATGAACACTCCATGTATGGGGTCGGACCGCAGTAAATGAAACCAATGTATACAAATCGCGACGACCCGCATCTAAATTTCGCCGGCTTGAGTCAAGATTGTGTTGAATTCCGGAACACCCGACCTCGGTTCGGAACCAGATTTTGTGTTTATTCGTTGATTACAGTGGATTTAAAAGCACGTGCAGGTAAGTTGAATGCACATTATATTACTAGCTATATTCTATTTATTTATGATTAACTGCTGCTTTAATACATTTGAATATTAGTGTCCGCTTATCGGTAATTGCTCCACGCTTAAAAATTTTTTTTCCAAAAAATTATCTAGCCTTTTTTAAAAGTCCGTTGTATTTAATTTATGGTCACTGAAATAAAAAAGGAATGCACAATTAAATCAAAAAGATGTTTAAAAGGATGATAGAATTTAATTTGTTTTAGTAAATTATGTTAGTTAATAACATCGGCCGATTAAACTATCAGTATTTTGTCGATATTTCAAGCCGATTGTCCGCCATGTTTTTTTTTACTTTCTCGCAGTGTTGGGTTCAACTATTATATTACCGCAGCGGTTAACAGCATACTTTCAATTTATTGTAGCATTGTTTTTTTTTGGTCTTTCCTAGTTTAATAGTTAACTATTCTATATATGTGCAGTAGTTACATTAAATTTTAGAATATTACGATCTTTTACATTTTTTATCTCTAGATTTATTGTAAAGACGACTTAAAATAAAATATAGCCCCCCTTCCATAATAGTTTAGTCCAAAGTTGTTTCTAGATTTAGTCTAGATCTACTTAGATTAGTTAGATTCACTATTGCTTTCATGTTAATATTTAGTAGTAGAATTATCTATAGTGCTTACATTTAATATCTAAAAAGCATTGAGCAGCCTTACTTTTAATATTATTATTCTATTTACAGAGCAAGATATTAGCATAAAAGAAAGGGGAAACTCATTGGCCTACCAAAAATTTTGTATTGTTGTGAAAGCAACAACAGGACTCCTGAATACTTTTGAAGGAAACCATATGTCAAATGTTAGTATTGTATGCACTTTGCTTATTATTTATAATGATGTAATGTTACATGATTGATATCTAAGTTGGTATAAAGATATACAGGCCTGCTATATAAGTCAGTTTATTTGAAATGCTAATTAATTGTTTTTATTCACAGACATTTTCTATACTCTGGACCAATGGAAGGATCCCTTACTAGATTCCATAATTTGATCTGTAAACTTGAAGAAGACAAACTCAACCAGGATATTGACTATTAATTACAATGCTACCCAACCTCATAGAGAACTTTCCCAATCAGGATATTGACCTGTCTTTTTGAACCTGCTCTAAGATTTCTGATAATTGTATAAGTTAGGAGCTAGACATTTCCAGAAGTTGACTTTGATCAATAACTAACTAGAAGAAATAAATATACTAGTAACAAGTAACTTTATGCTAAACAAGTCATGATTAGGAACCAGAGTAACAAAACTAGATGAACATCACAACTCTATTAGGGTAATTTAAAAAGAATTTCAGTCTAATTAGTTATCTTACTTCGTCAGTTTTTAAAATGCATGGAATTTCTTCTTATTATAGTATATAAGTAAAGTAGTAGTATAGTTATTTAGTTTTTTATAACAAAGTAATGCTTACATGTTTCCTACACAATTTATATTACTTTCTTAAAAGTAAGAACACATTTTGCAAGATGTTAGGTAATGAAAATTCTTGATTTTGGGCGTTAAGGAAGGATGCCTTGTATTGTTTTGCAGAATGATTATTTTATGACTCTGTGTTTATTATATATTAAGAACATCATGTGCTTTAAGTTGGTGTAAAATTTATTAAGATACCTTACTTAAATATTTTTTAATAATTTTTTGAAAAAGGATGAAATTTCTAATTTTTATAAACTGACCTTGCTGAATCTGGTCTCGCTAATTACTTTCTTTATTAATTCTTTACCTGCTTATTTTATATTAACATGGTTTGAATTTCCTTTCTTAGAACATTTATATTATTAATGTGGCTTAATTAGTTGATTTTCTATGATTTTTTAAAAATGACTGTAAATTAACTTTTTGTCTCCCTTTTCGTACTTCGGTAAAATTGTGCTTTGGCTCATTTTTATGTGAATAAATTTTCTATTTATATCTGGCTGACTACCTTGAAAAAAATTGGGTTTGCTATTTGTATTACTGGCTGTGTGTGCAAGAAATTTGAGAGTTCTAACTTAGTTATTGTAGAAGTTAGTAGGGGTCTCAAATAGACCCTTTACTGTTCAAAAAGCAAACGCATTTTTTGAGTTTTAAAAAATTCATAACTTTTTTAAAAATGGACATATATCAATAAATTTGGTGTTTCTGTTCTGATGAAAACAGTGTCTATCAGGTGGAAGTGTTAAATTTTATTTAATTTCATTATAAAAATTTCATTTTGAATACCTAATTTTAGATACATTTGGATGACAAATGCCTTCAACGTTTGAAAATCAGTACCATGCTCACTCCAGTCAATTTGGCAGACTACCAAAATATGCATCAACTGCGAGCAGTAAACCTGAAAAGGTTGATGACATGTATCCTCTGCAGTGGACAGGTTTTGCAAACCAAGTAAGTCTTTTATCTACAAGAGTTGACTTTATTTCTATTTTGTTAGCCATTGTACTTAAGAAGATATTGTAGGCAGTGCAATATGCACACCAAAGACCACTTCATATTAAGATATTTGATCCCTTTAAAAAACCTGCATGGAGTATTACCATAGAAGTAAGCACAACCCGAAAAATGATAGCAATATCATCAGAAAAAAAACAATAAAATGTACTTATAGCCATTATACCATTGTGTTTATTGTTTGAACCAGATATTCTCAAGATAAAAAGTTAGATGTAATAAGACTTTAGTATGTCTTACAAATGTGTGATGTTTACAGGGTTTGTTCATGAGCACTGTCAGGTTTTTATTGTTCAATTAGAATGTCTAGTATTATATGAGCCTTTTAAATTCATATTTATCTTAAATTATATAATTTCATTCATGCACCCATGTTTAAACAAACTACCATGCATCATTTATTTCATTTGCATCTGATTTGTAGGCAGATGTACAGACACGAATCCAGAAAGTTCTTGGCCCACTTTCACTTTTTGCTCCATTCACAAATGAGGATGGTAAAATTTACATTTTTAAACTTGAATAAACATAAGAGTTTCAGTGTTTAGAAAAATTGTTTTGCATGTAAAATAGCCTTAATTTTACAAATTATTTTTAAAAAGTTACAGTAATTGTTTTTTCATTTATCAAACAGTTTAATTTTTATTTTAGTTCCAGAACCAACTCCAATTATACAGCTAGACAGACCAGTCACACCCATAAATGTAAGATGTTATATTTTAGTATTCTCTGTCATAAATTTGGTGCAGCTATAAGTTAACAAAAAAAAAAAAAACAGCACAAACACTAAACCATGTATATAATTTTGTGTCTATTATAGGAGGAAATAAAAACACAACCTCAATCCTTAGATGTAATGGTCAGCTATGTAAGAAGGAGAATTATGCCAAAGCCAGACATCCCATTTTTGTCTACAGAAGATCAAAGGAATTTGGTCAGTTTTTGATTTTGCAATAACAATTGAATTTTTTTTAAACTGCAGAACTAGATTAATAAAATTACCAGAAAATAAAACAGATTTTAAATTAAAATTACATATAGATAATTTTTTGATACACTGCCTGCAAAAACACAAAAATAAATAAACTTCTTTTATTTAGGCTGCTATTATATTAGGTGAAGTAAATTCAATATGGCCAGAAATTAGAAGACAAATTGATGATCCTTTTCTGGTAACTACCTTCCTTTTTTTAATAATTCATTATAATTTAGTTATAAAAAATTTTAATTAATAATTTTTGGTTTAACTAAGTATATATATGCTATGAATTAACAATCATTTAGAACATTAAAACTACCTAACATGTTAATTATTTTATTTATGATACAGCATAAAAGCTAAGTTTAAGTTCTGAGTGCCAAGCTTAAAAGTATTTTATTTTTTTGATAGTCTGCAGAGAATAACAAAGAGTTGAACCGACGCATCACAGTACATATAGTCACAGTCTGCGAGCAGCTGTTTAACCACTACCTTAGCAAAGCCCAAGGTGAGTTGATGTGGGGAAAAACATTCTTGGTTATCAATGCTCAAATAAAAAATTAATTTAAGATCTAAAATAAATGGCTTTTCTCTATAATAATTTATATCTTTTATTTTGTTTGTCTTTATTTACAGTTATCATTTGTTTTGATTGTCTTTCAGTTCTAAATGAACGTGGTGTTTTTAGTGGCCCAGCAAACATGAGTCGGCTTAAAGCCCAGCTTGCATTGGAAACAAATGAATTGTAATTAACTACTTTTTAAAAATAATTATTATAGTTAGTTTTACTAACTAATAATATCAAAAAGTATTTTCATAGCAATAGTCAAGGTATATATAAATACGAACTGTATTGTTTTGTTTATCTCAAATGGTGTAGGTTAAACATTTTAAAGATTCGTCGCTACATTGTACAAGATATAAAGACATCTGCTGCTCAACAAGACAACGGAGATGAAGCATCCAACAAGGAAGTAACTCAAGTCAGGGCTGTGTCTGGAAAAAAGCTTACATATCAGGCATTGGTGTGTTAAATTTGTACTTTTAATCTCTCATTTAGGTAAACTGTAAATGATTTATTAAGTTGATTGGTGTAGGCATCATCATATGCCAGTTATTGAACCAAAACCTAATTTATAAAGTTGATACATCACAAAGTTGTTATGGGTGATGCAAGAAGCATGATTTTTTGCATTGTATTTCTGAGCCATTCATATTAAAATAAATATATTTTTGTTGATCGTTTTTAAATTTAAAACATGTCAGTTATGGTCTCAAATAATGTCTTTTACACTATGGGCTATTCAACTGAAATAAATAATTGTTGACTACACTAATTTATATTTGGAATACTCAAATATAATAGCTTTTGCCTAACTATTTTCATTAATGATTTAAACAAAGTTGTAAAACTGTTACTTTAAAAGCAAAAAAATTAAATTAGAATAAAACAAGCCTTTGATTTTAAGATGGAAGTTAGTCGGCCTAAAACAAGACAGCACAGTTCTGCTTTGACTAACATTGACAGAGCTTTGAAAGAGGTAATAATATAAATTTTATGCAAATTAATCAATTAATAAATAATTTTTATTCTGTCTTTTTGTTGTTAACAGATGAAAATTGTTTTTGTCATGTCCTTAAATAAAACACCATATTGTATAAAATGTTTTCTGTAGTTTCTAAGCTTTCTCTGTTAATACACTGCATGTATAGATTAGTAAAAAAATCAATGGTAAAAGTTAAAAAAGTAAAGAATACATTGAAAATTACATTTCATCTGTATAATTATAAATAAAAACTGCATTTTAGTTCTGTTTATAGATTTAAAATTTGCTATTACTTTAGTAACTTGAGGTTTTCAAATGATTTCAAATGATAATTTTGTAGATTCAAGACAATATGCCAGTACTAGATACAAGCCAGTTAATGGATCTTATTCCAGATTTTCCTGACCGCAGCTTACAAACTCCAAGTGAAGAAGGTGAATAATTTCTGCTTCCATTCTCTCACATGGCTCCCACCTCTTTCTGCTTCCATTCTCTCATATGTCTCCCACCTCTTTCAATAATTTCTGCTTCCATTCTCTCATATGTCTCCCACCTCTTTCAATAATTTCTGCTTTTATTCTCTCATATGTCTCCCACCTCTTTCAATAATTCAGATTACATGTTAAAATTTCATCAGTACTTTGGATTAATAATGATTTACATTTCAAATTTCTTTAGATTTTTATCAAAAAACATCTTACAAGGCTACAGATGACAGCTCACTTCTCAATGGGTGGGTGAGCAAGCTGTTAGAATAGCAGCATAAATTATAAAGTTTCAGTTTTAGTGGTTTTATTTGATTATTTACACTTCTTTAACTTTAGTTTTTGTGGGATTTTTAAAATTATAAAGGGCCTTTCAAAACATATTAACAATGTGAAAGTATTTAACTTATACAATTTCAGAATAACATGAATAATCAATAATTTTTTTGTCTCAACTATACTGTTTTCTTGTCTTTGCTTTCTCTTATCTGAAATATTTTTGTTTGAATTTCAGCATTTTAACAGAAGAAGGTTCCAATGAAAAAGTAGTGTTTAGGGTTTGTATATATTGTTTATTTTTATGTTATTTAATTGATGAAGTTGACAAATTTATTAGCTTTGTCTTCTTGTTAGAGCATTCAGTACTTCAAATGCATTACTTTTCACATTTTTTAAATCCCTTAACATAAGAATGTTTTATAAGTAAGCTAAAAAATTATTTTTTACAATTTAAAAAAAAAAAAAATAAAAAAAAATGGAATCACAAAAATGGTATTCATTCTTCTAGTCACACATATATCATATATATCACACATATATCACACATAGCACACTAGATAGGTTCATAGTAAAGAAAGTCTGTATTAGGTTGTGATTGATTTTTTGTTCAATATATTTTGGCTTCATTTAAAAAGATTTCTGAATTTCTGAAGTTGTAGCCCTTGCTTCAAAACTAAATCATAATTACACAAAAGTAAATAGCACCACAAGACTGATGGTATAGATCAGGGGTCTCCAAACTTTTCGGTCCGAGGGCCGCATTAACTATCAAATTTCAGTTCGGGGGCCAGTTTCTTCCAGACATGTCTTTGATTTTTCTGGGCAAAGTTCCTCAGCTATCACCAACAAACGATTTTTCCTTGGACAAAAAGATCTCCGCGGGCCGGATGAGAGGACTTCGAGGGCCGCATCCGGCCCGCGGGCCGTAGTTTGGAGACCCCTGGTATAGATAATTGTGTCCAAAATAAGGTCCCCAAGAAAAGTAGTAAAATAATAGGCCTATTTATTTTGTTTTCAGCGCAGCAATTCTCAGCCACTTCTTGTACAAGGTGAAGGTCTCATGGAAGAGTTGGGTATTGACAAAAAAGTGAAGACTGACGCCTTGATGCAACATGAGCTTGGTGTCTTGAAGAGAGAAAGAGATCTCATAGTTAAAGTAAATACAGGTTTCTTTCTTATGAGGTTTCATGGAAACATCTGATTAGGTTATTTTATGATCATAGCACAAAAGAAACTTTCAAATATATGTACTCAAAGTAAAAAAAAAGTATTTTTACTATCAGCCTTAAGCTTTAATTTTAAGTGCAGTTAGGGAATAGCAAATACAGTGTTTTGAAGTTTCAATGTAAACAATCCTAAAAAAAAAGAAAATCAATCATTCATTTAAATAATTGAAAGAATAGTTAATCAAGAAACTAAGCAAAAATCTACAAATTTAACATTTAAGAATTGCTTATGTTTAAAAATATTTCTTAATACTTCTACTTATAAAAACATAAATACAAAATTTTTACAAGTAAAAATTGTCTTATTATTATGTAGTTTACGTGTCAATTTGAAAAATATATAGAAGGGGTTTTTATGTTTTATTGTAATGTAATGTTTTATTATTATGTAATAAGCAGGTGAAACCTAAGACACTTGATAAGAAGAGTATTAAAGACGGCAATAGTTATGAAAAGGACCTTAAAAAATTGTCGGAGTACAAAGTTAGTGAGGTTTCACAGGATGATGATGATGAAGATTTACCACCTTTAATTCAAGTAAGTTACTGCTCCTGACTTCAGTGGTGTCTTCTTTTCTAAAAAAATGTCATCTAAGAAAGGCTATATTTTCATCTATAATGTGCATTTACTTTGTATAATTTTATTTTGTTTTAAAATATATAAAGTTAAGAAAAAAATATTTCTTCAACCTTTGGATTTTCTAAATAAAAACCTACTGATCAATAGTGAAAGTGAATTACAGTTAATCTATTTAGGTTTATATTGGATGGGGTTGTGTGTCCAATGATCATATTCTGGCATCTTACAGACTTTAAGTTAATGACAGAATTGATATTTACCACTCAACCAAACCAGCCCTATAGTGAATGATTTCCATTTTAATCTGCGTTTTTTTACTATGGTTAATGAAATTGTAGGCGATAACTCGCCATGCTCGTCATGATGATCTAAAACAAAGAATGGAGAAACAATTGAAAGAACTAGAAGACAAGGAGAAGCTGAGAAGGGAAGAAGAATGGTAACAAGTTTGGCTATTCATTTTTTAAATACTTTTTAAATTATTGTTCTTCACTGTTTCAAGAGCATCTTGTATACAACATTTTATAGTTTACATTTGTGCACATGAAATGTTTTTAATATTTGATCACAGATTTGAATATATTTGCATTGTAATTGTATCATCTAAAAAATATTCAATTGTTCACTTTTCACTTTTGAAATTCAGCAATTTTTTTTGCACATTTTTGCAATTTTTATTTGCATGTTTTCAGTGTTCACGTACGAGGTCCTACTTATCCACAGCCTGATACTGTTAATGCAAAGTTAGGCAAAACTGTAAGGCTTAACAGTGCACTAAAGCTTTGAATATTACTGTAAACTATGAAACAACATTAGATAAAATGATTTTAAAAAAAATGTGTTTGCATTTGGCCTTTTAAATTAAAAAAGAGTTTAAAAAAAATTTAAAATCCAAAAGTATAATTTTTTTTCATAAAACAGACTACTTTGTTACAACATTATTAGAAACTTATGATAATAATTTGGTATTCCATGATACAGGGAGTTGTCAGAACATCAGATATTCGTGTCTCTGAGAGAGTTTGCATGTCATCAATAACACTCAAGCGCTACGCCACAGTTTACAATGATTTACTTGAAGAAGTATGTAGGTCTTATTATTAAATCAAAATAAAAAAAATAATTTCTGTGCTTGTTGTGTATTAGATAAAAAATTAAATTAAAATGTTTCAAAATATGATTTTTTAAAAATATTAAATAAAACTTATTATAAAAGTATACAAATTTTAAAGTAAGGACCTAAAACTAATACTTTTCTGAAATGTTTGAGTTCAAATTTGATATAGATTGATCCAACAACTGTCAAGAATTTGGATAAGAAATTGTTCCTCAGTTCTGAGGTTCAGGAGGTGTATAAAGAAATCATGAAGACTGCGTCAACTTCACACTTGGAACTTGATGATGTAAGCTAACCTTTATTTAACATAAATTAGTTTCTAAAAAGTATTAATACAAAATACCAGTTTGCAAAATATTTGCTGCATTATAAATAAAAAAAAAACAACACTTAAAGACATGTGCTCTATATTTAAGAAAATTGATTTAAAACATGAAAAATAATTGGTTTAATGTGATCTCTTATTATTTTATTTTAATTTTGTTAAATTGATTGACAATTGTATTAAAAGTATTAATTATAGATTCTAGAATAAAATTACCATGACAAACTGTCTTCCTCATTACTTTTTTGTCTTTGTTTACCAGTTGAGTAGCAAGGTAAAGTAGTCTTTGTTATCCTTTACAAATATTTATGTTTTATACTAACTGCTAAATGCTTTTCTAAAAACAGTGTTGAAATACAGGCTAGCTGCTAAGTATAAAATAATAAGTCAGCTTTAAAATAAAGGTGTCAGATTGAAATTAAAATAAAATTTCTGTTAATTTCATTTTTTATTTTACCCATTTGTGGTATAGACCTAAAACTTTTTATATAACACCACATCAAGAACTAATTTTTGTTAACATATAATTTATCCTTGTCTTAATATAATATTAGCATTCTAATAAACTATTAACTAAAATTTTTAATATGTATTTTAAAAAAATTATAATAACAAATTGTAATACTACCATTTAAGTTCTAAAAAGTTTTATTTTGTGCATTATTAGGACTTTTATTTCTCTTTTTGCAATAATTAAAATTCTAAACATGTGAAATAATAATTCAATGTGTTATATATTAAGAGTTTGAAAATAGCCCATTAATTTTGAATTGCTTTGCATTTGCGTTTTGTTTTACTTTCTTTGTGTAAAATTTGCAACATATTTTATTAATAATTTGTAATATAGTTTGCTTTTTTAAATTAAAAAAAAAATATAGAGATCTACATATACAAACATTTGCAAAATACATTTGATTCACATAATTTTTTTCCATAGGACCCACTAGTTTTGAATGCTCCAGAGTCTCTGAACATTTCTGGCACCATGGCTTCTACCTCCTTATCTAAAAAAGTTGTGGACAGAGTCATCAATCCCTCTTTTAGTAAAGAGAAATCTCCACCTTGGGGAGATACAGAGTTGAATGAATGGGTTAAAACGTATGAATAATGAAACTTCTATGTTGTAGGCCCTTTTTTAAATATTTTAAAAAAATATGTTACTTTTGTAATCAATTCAAAAAGTAAGCTAAATTTTTATAATTTTAGTCAACACATGTTATTGTTGTTACTACTATTCTTTTTACAGGCCTGTCAATCCTCCGAAGAATTTTTTAGGAGAAGATTTATTTCAGCCAGTTGTAAGTTTATTTAATCCATGAATTGATTTACTCTAATTTATTAAATAGTTTTTTAATATTTCCTTTTTATAAAGTTATACCTTGTCATAATTTAATGCATAAGTGATTAAACTATTGATTTATTTCTCTAAAAATGTGTGCAGGCACCAAACATGCCAAAAGTTTATGAGGTTATCAACAACCCCGCACAGACAGCACAAATGGTTGTGTCCCCTGAAGGTATCCCCACCTATGTCGCTGACAAAACCTCCTCTAGTTACTCCTCATGGTTACAGTGGTGGAAATCAACAGTTACTAGTGAAGACTACATGAAGTATCTCTCAACACTGGTAAATCAATTTGATTTTTTTTTACATCATTTTTTAACACAGCTAAAAAATTTTAAAATGTAAATCATTGAATATTTTTTATGAACTCTTACTCCAGGAAACAGATTACATGGGAGCTATTTTTCATTTCTATGATTCTGATGAAGAAAGCGAGCCTGAGGATGTAGAGATACCATACAAGTTGCGACGCACAAAGCAGTTCCTGAACAGTGGAAAGAACAAAGTTACACCACAACAAAAGTAAATATCTTATCTTTTAATTTTTAAAGATTTCTTCTTTCATAGCAAATAATAAATTAATTTATAAGTTGAATTCATTGAAATAGGTTTTATACTTTTTACATTATGTGATTAAAAGTTAACCTTTACAAGAACAGTCCAAATGACATGGAATGTCAAAATAATTTTTTTTAATGCAGTTTGTTACAATTTTGAGCATCTACAAGACAAAAAGCATTAAATTCCTCATAGGAAGTGCAATGGTTAGTTAGAAAATAAAAATGCTCAAATAAAAGAATCATAATATGTATTTTATTAGGTTTATTATTATTATTTAAATTTATTAGTTTTACTAAAAATTTCAGAGAAAAAATGCGCAAGCTGGCAGAGCTTCAAAATATAAAGTCAGAATATAAACAGGGTTTCTGGAATGCTAACTCAGTCCTGATGGGAGGATTAGGAAAGGATCCTTCATTAAATGGTAAAATATTGTCCTAAATAGTTTCCTTTATTAAATGGTAAAATATTGTCCTAAATAGTTTTTTGTAAAAAAAGGATCCTTTATTAAATGGTAAAACATTGTGCTTAATAGTTTTTGTAATAAAAGGATCCTTTATTAAATGGTAAAACATTGTGCTTAATAGTTTTTGTAATAAAAGGATCCTTTATTAAATGGTAAAATATTGTCCTAAATAGTTTTTGTAATAAAAGGATCCTTTATTAAATGGTAAAATATTGTCCTAAATAGTTTTTGTAAAAAAAAGTTTAATTGATTGAATAATGAACCTTTAATTTTAGAAAATGTTACAAATTTCAGCATACTTAAAACTCAAGAGTTTCTTTATTTTTCTTTTTAGAAGATGATCCTCCTGAAGCTGAAAGTGCTGCCAAAACAAAATTAAATGATGATAAAGTTGGTGAATCAAAAAATCTACTCACTAAAAGGTTAATTATACTTATTTTACAAAGTGTGCTATTAAATTTGGAAGCCTTGGATATTAAGTTTGATTGTATATCATAACTTCTAGACTATATTTTTGAAATAAAGTTATACATTTTCTTATAACAATGAATTATGGCAGCCTTCAAAATCTTGTTTTTTATTATGAGAACTATGTTCTCTGTTTCACAAAAACTTAAATGAACATTACAATTGAAAGAAGCTTTTTTGAAATAAGTTTAAAATATTTGAAAAAATGTTTTTACTTGGAACCAATTAGTTTTAATGCCAGAAAAAAAGTTTTCCTTGTTAGCTAAGTAAATTTCTCAATATTTCAGACTTCTTTCATCCCACCTCACAAAAAGGAATGTTGAAACTCCTGAAACTGTAGCTTCTAGAGCTAAGGTAAAATTAGCTCTGCTGTTTCCTTTTAAACGCTTTTATGGTTTAAAATACAATAAAGAGCAGTAAACAAATACCAACTTTTGATATTATGTTAGATTTTTAAAAATTACACTTAAGTTTAAATCTTATCCAACTTTCATTTTCTACTTCAGTTCTGATTAGTTTTAAAAAATATGTTTGTCTTCTAAGATAAATTACCAGACACATCCAAAGATTACTTTGCATAAATAAAATTAGAATTGTACTGTAGATTAAATGTAATTACTTATGTAATGTGATTAAGTGCAATAATTTCAATGAAAAATAATGTGTCTGTATGAAGACTGCTGAAGATGTAAAAAAAGTCCCAGATGCTCAAGATAGGCTGGAAAATGTTTGGCAGAGTCTCCAAGTGCCAGATAGCCAACGCTTAGATATGGCTATTAAATACAGCTGCAACGAGTATTTTTCTCAATTATCAGAGGTTTGTTATTTTACAACCAATACAAATTTGCTTACTTATATAAAATGTATTCATCAACAATAGTATTAAAATTAAAACAATTGAAAACAAAAACAAATGAAAGCCATGTATGTTAAGAGTTTTCTATAATATGTTGCAGGCCATTGAAGGATGGGAGTATGTTTCAAATTTGATACTCCAGAGAGAAAAATTGTTAATTGATTTGGAAAAGTTTGAAAGACAAGCCTCAGATCCAAACAGGTTTTTCCATAAAGGTTAATATTCAGATTAATTCATTTTGTTAAATTAACAAGTCTAATAAGATACAGTGTGTTTGTGTATGGTTACTTAAGTCTGTTGATTTATGTCAATAAATTTTGAAATCTTGTGTATCCTTATGAGAATAAGTCATAAAATAAATTGATGTAAATATGTGTTGGTGTGTGAATACTGATAAAAATAATATAAATTTAACTTTATACACGACAGTATATGATTTAAATTATAGTTTTTTAACTAAAACCTTTTATATATAATTTTTATATATGTTTCTATCAATTAAAAAAATCCCTCCCCAGATTCCAAAAAAAGTTCTAATAGGCTAAAAGAATCAAAACAAAGGTCTCATCTATATAGGGTAAGTATAGGATCATATTATTAGTCAAAGTGAACCAAATAATAACATTTTAATACTTTTCTGTTTAAATGTGAAAAACATTTATCAGATTTGGGGTGAGAAATTTAATTATACTAACTTGTACAGTTACAAGTACATAAATTACAATTACATTTATTTTTGTTTTCTAAGCAAATTAATATTTGGTGTAAATATATTTGGTATATTTGATATAAAATTACTTGTGCACATTTTTCACTTAGAAAATTGATGAATTGGATGTTGAGATAAAAGAGGAGGTTGAATTTATCAGGAGCAAATTTCAAGATGTGATTACGTTTAAAGTAAGTGAGATGTATTTTAACAAGTTTTTTATAATACATTTTCAAAAATATTTTGAATAATAAAATGTTAATGAACCATAATTTTCAGGGCCGTCCATATATAGATAAGATGAAGTGGGATAGAACAGAAATGCTGTATTGGTTGGCAGAAGAAAGGAAACAGAATGGAATTAAATATGAGGTTCTTACCAGGGGTCTGACAGTACCTCTAAAACCAGCACAATTACAGCCAATTTCTACTACAAAGATTGTCTAATGTTGTAATGCACTTGTAATATTTATAAAGCATTGTCATAATGAAAAATTGATTGAAGTTTACATTTATTGTAAAGTTAAGTTCAGTGCTTTTTTTTTACTAAAATCTAAAATCAATTCAAAGTCAAAATCATCATCAAATTCTTCTTACAACCGTAATTTGAAACAAAAATGATGGCTGCTAAATGCTTGTAAGTCATGTATGAAGTATAACTGTAAACATCATTACTTCTGTCCACTTGGTTATAAACACTAGTAAACTCATGTATTTTAAGGGGATGCATAACTTACAATTAGTTTTGTTTTAATGTAAACCCTTTTTAAGCAGTTTTCAGAAAAAAACTTCAAGTAAACAATTTACTGCAAGTGGACCCAAAAATTTTAGTTTTGTTTTCCTTGTATAATTGTATATTATGTCAAAAATGTATTAAAACTCACATTAAAAAATAACTAGATTGTTTTGTTTCAATTTAGTAGAAACATGATCTTAATTAATTCTTTTGCAAAGTTTATTAAACTTAATGATAGTGATTTCTTTTGCATTTAGCTGTAAAAAGTTTCATTAAGGAAATAATTGGGTAGTTTAACTTATATTTATTTCTGTAAGATTGTATGTGGTTAAAATTTAAAATACAGTCAATAAAAGCTAAGAAAAAAATTTCTAACATGCTGTTTATGTAGTACAATGATCAATAACAATTACTGAAAAAAGATATTTAAAAACACAATACCTAATTTTTTTTGTACATTTGGCTTTTTATTTATACACAAACTACTTTGTTTCAAAGAAAACTATTTTACTGTTTAGACTTCCAGTAGCAAGCATAGAACCCATTGGGTGGTAATCTACACATGTAACAACTTCATTATGACCTCTTAGTCTGTTACAGTAAGTTCCCTTTCGGAGATCATATATATAAACCATTTTGTCCTCTGATCCTGAAGCTATGTAATTGCCACAAGGACTGAAAGAAACTTGACAAGCATGGGCATTAATCAGATGTCCTTGTAAAACTTGAACATTGGATTTAGACCGTAAATCCCAAATCTTAATTGGGTCAGTGGGCGCAATGGTAGCAAAGACATTGTAAGCCTCTTGTGGCTGTGAATAAAAACAAGATCCTGAGTTCAGAGCTACACAGTGTGCTGGCCTTGAGTGGCAGTTTGTAAAACTATGTGCAAGCTGAGATTTATTTAAGTCATAGACCTCTGTGTTGCAGCCCGAGGTTGAGCAAAATACCAAATAAGAATAGAATGTGTTTACAGCAGACATTGCCGTGAACACAGAACTGGGTGTTTGCCAACTTGAGATGAGTTTGCAACGATTTTTGTACAGATAACGTTTAACATCATCCCGTTTGGTGGACATGTCATATTTGTACATAGATAAATTTGGTCCATGAATTAAAAGGATAAATTTGTCAACGTAAAAAAATTGTGCATTCTTTATTTCCTTAGCAAAAGGCTTATTTTCTTTGGAGGAAGTGCTCAGCTGACTATCATGGCTTAAAGTACTAGAAGATGACAATCTTCTGGTTGCAGTTGTAGTTGTTTTATTGGTAGATAAATTTGTCACTTTACTGGCTGATGATTCTTTTATAGAGCCTCTCTGGTGCGTTAAACTCAGAAGTGGATCACCACCAGTCTTATCCCACAAGCAAACTGTTTTATCATTAGATGCTGTCAATAAATAAGCACCATCTGTATTCCAAAATACAGAATTTACAACATTATTATGACCAATAAGGGAAATTGTTTGCTCTTTATTAAATGGAGCTTTTAAGATAAGCCCACACTTATTAGACAATGCAGAAGCCAAGGCATTACCATCATCTGCAAATCTTACACTAAACACTGCTGTACTTTGACAATCAACCAGGAATGTACTACTTTGTTCAGTAGGAGGACCTTTGCTGGAATCACAGGCTGAATTTAGGATTTGGTTCAACGATACTTTGTTAGAAGAATCTGCTTTACTCTTTGGTTGATCATTGATATTTAATAGTTTTTTCTTACTCTTTTCTGGTTGAAACATTTTAGTGTGTGGTCGCTGGGTATACCCAGAAGACTTGATTTTACTTGTAAATGTCAATGGCTGATGCATTATGCTGGTTGGTTTCTTTTTCCCACTTGAAGGTTTTGCTGATACCAGTGGTAGCATTTCACTTTTTAAAGGTGAGAACGCAGCCAATGGAGTTTTAGGAATAACACTAAGAATTTCTGCAAAACTAGACAGGCCTACATCAAAATCCTCTGCAGGTTTTTTTGTTTTTGGAAGTGACAGTTTTATTACATTGATTTCTTTTTCAAACATTGCACCAGTAACTGAAACAGCTGTAAAAGCATCTACTTGATGCAAAGCAGCATACGCTACTGAGCCTATAGTTTTGGAAAAGGAAAATGTTTCAGTTTTCAATGGTAAATTCAGAGGCTGGACATTTAAGAGTTCATATGTCTTTGAGTGAATCTGGATAAAGTTATTGGAAGTAACTACACATAGAGATGGTGGATTTTCACTTAAAACATCACCTGCAGCTGACTGAGATTGTAAAATAAATAATGATGGTAAATTCAGGTCATAATTATCTTTAGGAAAATAAATATATTGAACAGCCAACACTGATTCACTTGACTCTATGACATCAGAAGATTGTTCAGCATTTTTTTCTGGTAAACTTTTCTCAAAATATTTTTTTAGACTGACAACTAAATCTACATTTGCAAGTTGTCTAAAGTTGTTACCATCAGTCAAATCAAAGACTTTTAAAGCACCACTAGCAGTTCCAATAGCAACATGTGGAGCAGACAAGTTCATACATAAACTAATCAGAGGAGAAGATGATATGATTGTTGACTGATATAGGAGAACATTTTCATTTGTGTCCCAAACATAAAAACATTTGTCATCTGATACTGAAACTAAGGTTGCTGAGTAATGTGGACAATACTTCAAACCAAGTATCATAGTTCTGTGTGCATTCAGTACAGCCAATGATATTTTTTGACTAACTTGTAATAGTGTTATATTATAATTTGATGCAAAAGCAATGATTTCGTCATTGTTATTAAAACACATTGCTGAAACAACACCTGGATTTGAAAATAGTTGTTGACTGAAAACATTATCTTCCCTTTCAGTAGATGGTGATAAAGACCACAATAATATTTTTTCCTTACAAGCAGATGCTATATATTTTGTTGGAAATTTATTGCTTAATGTCAAAGCGCATATATCCTTGAAATGTCCATTAAGTTCAACAGGTAGAGGCTTCACATTATGACGGACATTGTTAGATGTGCTATTAATTCCATTATTATTATTAATTGACGGTGTTTTCCACAGACCAATAACATTTCGTGTTACCGGCAAAGCTATCCATTCTTGGTTAACACACGGGTCCAGACGTCCAGGATTAGCATGAAGTGGTAATGAGTATATATGTTGTACATCCATAATGTTTGATTATCTTTTATAACTACAGTTCAAGAACAGTTTTATTAATAGTGATCGTTAAATCAGTTTAATTTCATAAAATCACGAAGTTCGCTTGGTTGCTAGCCACGCGAATGTTTTTCCAACAGAGTGACATACCTTACCGAATCTTATTAATTAATTCGCAGTTTTTCGTATCTTTAATTTAATTATTAATGTTTGTAACCCAAATAAAAGTTTCTAAAATTGAAACTAATTATATACACTTATATATATATATGTATGTATATATTTATATACAGGCATATATATGTATACTGTATATAGAAGGCGTAAAATAGATTTTCTACCGCGCGCATAAAGTGGTCGCAACGCCTATGCATGGGGAGGGGGGGGGGGGGGGGAGGGGGGGGGGGCGGGGGGGGGGGGGGTGTAAGATTGCGTACAAAATCAAATGTCTTTTATGTAAGACGACATAGATTTGATTATTAGTCCTACCTGGTCTAGACTAACCTTACCGTCGTCTAAAACAAAAGGAATCCGTATCTAGCCTATAGCCCTAGTCAATATCATAGATTCTAGATATATTAAATTAATTATATTAATATTATTGATCTTCTCGTCTAAAATCTAAAAATAGACATCTTTATTATTTAAGCTGTTACAGTTCTTACTTGAATACTTTAGGCCTCGAGTTGACTGTATACTTGAGTCAGTAGAAAAAATATAAATAGTAGAGTAATCATGGATAACGAAATCATTAATGCATTTATTAATTAGTTTGAATCACGAATAATATTGTGATACTGTTACTAATCAATTAACATATTTAATTAACGTATAGAAATAGAGATTACATTTTGTGCAGATCTATCCATAGCACCGGGGAAAATAAATAGCTATTCTAGCCTATATCTCTCAGCTGTCTTGTTGATTCCTGTATTTAGAACTACACTAATCTATGTTCTAGTTTTTACCATTGATCATCGTTCTGTGTAATTTTGTCCGTAATGTCAGGAACTAAATGAACTATTCTGATGAGTTGGCAACGAATGTGGTAGACATTCAAGATCTAGATCTAGATCTATATGCATTCATTTAAATTTTTAGTACACAATGAGTGAGTCCAGAAAAAGACGCGGCGCTGCTTGGAATCCTAAGTCACGACAAGACAGAGATCGTGAGAACCAGAACCATCAGAATGCTAATCATTCTTTCACCAACAGCAGCGGAGAAGCAAGTTATCATAAGACTCAAAAGCCAACACATTCACGACTTAAATCAAACCATGGCCCAGTGAGTGGATAGGCCTAGAGGGCCCTAGAGAAAAGAGATGAAAGATTTACAATTACAAACAAAATCCAAAAAATAAAAAAAATTTATTTAGGCCTATTAAAAATCTTAAAGAATTTTTTTTATACCTAGATCTAGATCTAGCTAATATCTAATTTATCTATTCTTTCTACATTAGTATAAAATATACACTCAAATATACTGACTTATACTCTTTATGTAGGGACTTGGATGAAATTTCATTTTAAAAAAAATAAAAAATGTAGTAGCACCAGTTTATAGAGCTCATTTAGACAAGAACAAAGATACTTTTATTTTAACTTTAGCTCAAACGGTTACGAAGTTATGAATTTTTAATGTATTTAATTTTCGGGTTTTTTTACTATGGGGTTTTCTCAATTTTTTGCTTCCCTACTTTTTTGGATGCGAACTAAAATCTCTGTAACTTTTTAAATAGCAGGTATTTTTTAATGAAAATTCACTAAGATCAAGCTTATGATATCAGTAAAAGAGTAAAATAAAAATAATTGAATTGGATGAGAATGATCATAAAAAATAATGTTAACAAAGAGGGTCACCCCCCTAAAATTTTTGAATAGGCGTCTTTGATAGGCTACACACAATCTGTTGCCAAATTTTTATTATATGGAATATCTTACTGAAAATTGGCCTGAATAGTGCCAACACTGTATACATTAACAGAAAGTCAAAATATTTTACTTAGCTTATGTGGTTTTATTACAATGTTGGACAAAATAAAAAAGTCATTTTTATTCTGCGCAACTACTTTTTTTGCAAGAAAGAAGTACAATGTTGAGCTGATTTTAGATTACTTTGCTTATATGCAAGAAATATTGTAAACATGAAGGTTATTATATACTTTGATATTTCCTTTGTTCAAATTTGATTTTAAAAATATTTTATTTAATGAAAAAGGGGTTTAAACTCATATACCCCCCTTAATTTTAAACAATAAATTCTGCTATAGGCAACACATAATCTGTTGCCAAATTTTTATTATATGGAATATCTTAATGAAAATTGGCCTAATTGGTGCCAACAGTGTATACATCCACACAAAGAAAAAATATTTCACTTAGCTTATGTGGTTTTGTTACAATGTTGGTCAAATTTAAAAAGTCATTTTTGTTCTGCGCAACTACTTTTTTGCAAGAAAGAAGTACAATGCTAAACTGATTTTAGATAACTAAAATTGTATCTAAATGTTGTCAATATGCATGATATTTCATCCATGTTATGTGTATGTTATCATAGAATTGATATAATTTAATTTACAATTATTGTTGAACAAATAATTTAATAATTGAAATGATTTTTTTATTGGTGGAGTAATGATCACCATTTAATGTTAAAGGTAAGTTTTATAATTTAGAAACATGTGTCATATATTTAAGTGACATCTCATGCTGTGTGGATAACATGTTTAAGTCTGTTAGCTTGTATCACTTTTTTACTTTAAAAAATAACACCATCAATGATTTAAAAATGAAATCTGATTAAACATCTACTGAAGCTGTGTCTCCTCTGGCTGATAGCTTTTAGAACTGTAATAAAAACCAGCAACATCCATTCTTAAGTGGACCTATTTCTCCTTCATTGAAGTTGCTTATGAGTAGATCCACATCTTTTGATTCTCTATCCCCTTGCTGAACTGGTACATTTTATCTAGGGCCAAGACTAGTAAAAAAGCAACTGAGATGTATACTACAGCAAAAATACAGTAGTATCATATGTACTTCAAATAGGCCAACAGATGAAGACAGAACATTGTACAAGGATTGTAGTAATTTAGTAATAAATCTAAAACGAACAAAGTCCTAGAGCTATAAAGAAAATATAGGACTACTAACATGTTTGAATATTAGTAATATTGGTAATAAAAATTCGCTTGAAAAGCAATCAAAAGGCTAAATGTTTAATATAGAATTACCCTATTGGTTTATATTTTAAAGACCAAATGATAGGCAAATGGAATTTTATATTAGATTCTAGATCTATATCAAGCTTTAAAATTTAAGAAAAATGTGGAAAGTACACAAGTTACTATAATGATAGCTAATATAAAATACAGAACTCATTCAAGAACAACATAGATCTATATCTAGGCCATACAATTAAAATGAAACAATAATTCAACTTGAAAAATTTCGCAGAAATCTATTTTTAGATCTAACTCAAAATTACAAAAAAAATGAATCTAAATAGAAAATATGCGCACAAAGTCAACAAAAAATCATAGTTTTATCAATATAAAATATAATTCTATAATTTAAAATGATTTTAAAGTCAGATTCGTGTGGATGTTGCTGGATTTACAAATCAATTCAATTGAGAGCAATGGCGTCATTAACAACACAAGTACACTTCCGGTTTTAACCTCTGTCTTTCCCGGTAGTCGTAAAATGGCTTAAGCCTATACTTTCTAAACTATTTATAAAAAAATACCTTGCTATCGATTAACATTATGAAAATTTACACACATAAAGAAAAATGGTGATTATGGTCGGAGGGCTTTTTATTGGCCTTCCTTGTTAGTAAGTTTTTATGGTACAAAAAGTTTTACGTAGCCAAAGTTTGGCTCCAAAAATCCGTTTTCACCTTCAACAAAATCTCAAAACAAAAATACCGTAACATATGAAATCCATTTGTTTTTCAGAATCAGTCATCAAATTATTAGTAGCATCGGCGATTTATAATAAAAAAAATTTTTTTCGATCATCACCCGCGACCGCACGGCTAAATCAACGAAACTCGGTATGGGCAGAAAACTCTCGTTTTTAGTGCCTCAAAATCTACGTCATCCAAGTCCCTAATAGGCTACCTAAAGTCTAAATCGGTAAATCTATTGACGAATTAAATAGGCCTATAAATAATGAATGCCTTTATTTTATTAGGCTATATTTATATAATATAATATGGGCCTAAATTGCCCTAAATATTTATATAGGCCCTAGGTCATAAGCCTAATAATCTATATATATAATTCTCTTCTGGGAGACGTTAGAAAACAAGCTGCAAAACGCGCCTTGCAGTCCCCTCTCTTCCTCACTATCACTACCCCCCACCCCCTACATGGTCTGGTGAGCGATGGTTCACTCTAAATGTTTACAATCCGGGTTTAGTGATGGCTATTAGGAGCAGATAATTTAGTTTGAAACGATTTTAAACTTAGAGGAGGTAACTAAGAGGAGGCTGCTTTCACTGGGGGGGGGGGGGGGGGGGGGGAGTATAGGGTAAGGGTTGGGGGAAAAGGGGGGGGTAGTGTTTTAAAGCAAATATTTTCAGTGGCAGCATTGGTACTGTCGAATTCACAAATTATGAATTACTGAAAAGTAGATAATAAAACAACTAAATAGCGGCGTATGATACGCAGCGGGTCGGCTCGTTAATAATAATTTGGCTGCTAGCTCGAACAACTGAAGTTCGTATCTCAGTTTAGTCATGTGAATGTAGGACGTGTCTGAGTCCACTCAGCTCTGATCGGTTCCAAACTTACCTTGGGGAAAGTGTAGAGGTGGCTGAGCATCATGCTGACCACACAATCTGGGTCCCTTCATAGGGTCAAGGTCAAAAAACAAACTTGACTTCATCTGCCCAATGTCAGAATTGTATCTAAAATATGTAGAATCTCATAAAAGGTCTTAAATAAAAAAAATATAATTACTCACTCCCCTACACAAAATGTCAGAACCTACTCACCTCAAACTTTAACCTACCTACACTCCCTAAAATTAAAAATATACTTTCAAAAATGTTAACTGAGCTGGGTCAACATTAAGAATTTCATTCAATTTTTAATTGCTATTTACTAAATTGTCTCTAAAATATGCAAAATAATTGTTAACATTCTGATTAAAAAATTACAAAATTGTAATGGCACCCATTGTTATGAAAGTATGAAACCAATTAACACTATGAATTTATTTTGGTACCCTCTATTTAACTAATAATTTGCAGTACCAATTTTCATTTGAGTAGTTTATTGAATACAATTTTAATATTCTTATACTAATAAACTTTTTCACGCATTTTATTTTCTTTACTATTTTTAAGAGTCCGCAAGGTAATTATCAAAGAATCGGTTTTGACCAGGTGCGTAAAATTGTTCAGTCAGAAGGACGTACAGCTCGTAACTTGGTTCAGTATAATGTTCCTGTACTTGAACAGCAGACAGAACAACTAGGAAGTGGAGGTATGAGCATTTATACAGTTCATGCAATCCTCTATTGTACTCTGTGTGTAATCATATTTAGCATTATTTTGTGTTTCCTGTTTTGTTTGTATTTGTACAGCTGCAAGTGGTAGCTCCCGTTCATCTAGCCAACAAAAGAGAGAAGGGTCTTCATCACGCTGTCACTCACATCGCACCCCACCACCAGGATCACGCTTTCGTCACAGGTCCTTATCTGATATGGCAAAGTCACCTAGATCTGATGCTGGTTCAAAGAAAAATGACCTCAGAGCCAGATACTGGAAGTATATGTTTGATAATTTTCAAAGGGCAGTAGACTCCATTTATCAGACCTGTGAGCAAGATGAGAGTGTGGTTGAGTGCAAGGTATGTTGAAGTTTTTCTATTCATTAAATTTAGTTCAGTTTTAAAAACCCAATGTGTTTTAATTAATTGATAGAAGCTGTTAAAATTTTATATTTTTGTAAAAATAATTAAAACCTGCATAGTGATTATATAAGTTATTTCTCTATAATAAATACTTTTTTAAAGAGCCTATGTATTTTCTTTTAAAAAATAGTTTGTTTAATTCAAAGATAAGATGCTTCATTTTTACTTTCTCGTATATACGAAGTATAGAGAAAGTCTTGTAATCGTGCAAAAAAAAAAAATCGAGATTTTTGCAAATCTCGACGTTTTACATCTCACTGATACGGAAAAACATAATTTTGCAATCTTGTCCGTATGTCTGTGTGTCTGTGTGTGTGTCTGTGTGTGTGTGTGTGTGTGTGTCCGTGTGTAAACACGATAACTTGAGTACCGTTACAGCTAGGTTGATGAAATTTCATATACAAGTATTTTATCAAAATCGTAGATCCGTATCAACTTTTGAGCGATTTCGGATAACCGGAAGTGGTACTTTTTCTACTTTGAATTTTTCAAAAGCCTATAACTTGAGTACTATTTCAGATAGATAAATGAAATTTGATATGCAAGTAAAAGATCTAATTCTCTACCTTCTGTCAAATTTTGAGTAATTTCCGTTGACTGGAAGTAGTACTTTACGCTACTTCCGATTTCTCAAAAAACTAATGTAAATTTTAAAAGTACTAATAATATTGCGCACTATTATGCGCTTTTTTATTTCGCGTTCACTTGGTGTGCAATTAATTTGTCTACGAGATTTTATTCTATTTTTAAAACTTTAAGTATTTAACATGGATTAAAAATCATGTCTATAGCCCGAGTTCCCATCCCCTGTTATTTTATATAAGAATATTCGAGAAAGTTTAGGGGAGATCACTCCCGGTTTATTACCTATAGATTTTAAATAATACTATTTTATTTCATAGGAAGTAATCATGATGCTTGAGCAAAGTACAAAAGATTTTAAAGCACTGATTGAAACATTAATAATGATGAAAGCATATGAGGATTCAGCCAAGGATGGGGACAGGCCACCAGCTGTTGCTTGGGAAGTTAGAAAAATGTCTCCTAACAAACATGCCCCTTCTTCACCAGCTCCAGCAGGACAACCACAGTAAGTTGTCTGGTACAATATTAATCAGTTTCTGTGCAGTATATTATGGTACATTTTTAAACACAAGTTTAAACTGCAATTAAGTGTTTGCTGTTTTAATTGTTCCTAAGAACAAGTGGTTGCACATGATAACTTGGTACTTGAAATGAATACACACTTGTTGGCATCTGTATTTCTTAGCTCACAGACTTCATAAGCTGAGCTCCTGCTAGCCACTAAAATTAGTCTGTCCTACTTTAAAAGCATTTACTAGGTCTCTAACAAAAAAAAAGTCATTTCACTTTAAAATTGTTAAGTGTTTAAATTCAAGGTACCACTTTATGTTGGATGATGTTTGTTTTGAAACACCATAAGAGGGTCTTGCTTTATATAATTATGTTTGTTATAAGTCTTGTACAGGGTTCGTACGCAGTCTGGAAAGTCTGGAAAAAGTCTTGAATTTTGAAAAGTGAATTTAAGACTTAAAAAAGTCTGGAAAATCGCTAGTTTTTGGGCAGGATTTTTTAAAAGTCTGGAAAAAGTCTGGAATCTAGTTTTAGAAACAAAACTTCGTAGTCCATATTTTCCAACTTAAAAAATTGCTATTTTTAAGTGAATTTACTCCAATTTTTTCCCCGCGCTATTGCGCGGGTTTACACTATGTTGTGACGTTTTTCCGCTGGTTCGCAGAAAAAATGCTCAGTTACTACGTCATTGGGAGAAGGGGGGAAGGGAGGGAAGAGATATTTTGTGGCATGACTGACCGTGTGAATGTGTTACAAGTACTTACAATTGTCATTTAATAAAAGAATGATCGCCCTCAGAATTGTTAGGCTCTCGTTACCCGCTATTTTTTCCTCGTTTGAGTTTGCATGCAGGCAGTCATAACAAAAGTTATGGGGGAGATGTGTGAGTGGTAGTTTAGATATAATGTATCAGTCTGTAAGGCGTCATCCATTTATGACTTACAACAATTTTTCGGATTTTAGACCCCCCCCTTCCCCACCCCCCCCCCTTCCCCATTCCCCCCGCCCTCTGTCCACACGCATTCACTTACTTTGGATTAATATTAACATTTATAAGATTAATAAGTCGCAAGGCCTCCTTGGGTTCATACCTGTATTTCTGTTTGCTTCAGCTTAACAAAGAGGTACTATTTTTATTAAGGAGTCGTCCATAAATGACGTCACACTCCGGAAAGTCGGGAGGAGGGTTTCAGAAAGTGTGACGACAAGCTCTTGCAATAATGTTAGGGCACCGTGTTTTGTTTACACGCTGTGATGGTTTTTAAAACACCAACACAGTCGTCTTAATTTTACTTTCTACTCACAAGATACAAGTTTTATGTTTGTTTTAGAATGTAATCACAAAATCTTCTGACCCCTTCCCCCCTCCATGTGTACGTCATAAATGGATGACCCCTTTAATTTTAATTCATCTTCCATTAAACTGTTTTTTGAAATCTTTGCAAATGCTGACGATTAAAGTTAGACTACCCCGCCCCTCCTTGTAACATCGGTCCTTTGTGTGAACTCACCGTGACCCCAAGTGCGTAGTTGGTACCGCTTGGTAAGTAGGGTGGGGGAGGGGGTATAAGTCACAGCACAGTTCCTGTTATGACCTATTAAATAGGCATACTGAAGTCTAGACTACTATGACCTCACAGTGACCCCTTCACCGTGTCGTGTCTGGGGGGGGGGGGGGGGGAAGAAGGATACCGGCAACTTTTTTTTAATTGCAGACCCGTTTCTCAGCTATTACTATAAGCACAAACAGTGAATGATTTTTAAAAAATTTTTTTTGCTCTACATTTTTTTTACAAGTAGCCTATATTTATTTAGGCTACTTAACAAGAGCAGACCTAAATTAATACATTACATTATTATTCTTTATAGTAATTAACTCTCACTATTATGCAATACCATTTTAATGATAGTTTAATTGAAAACATAAGCAATTAGATCAGGAACAGATTACATAAGTCTAATGTTGGAAACAAAATAGTTGCATCATTTTAATCAATTATTTTAATTGTTAAAATTTTAGGTAGGGTGGAGTAGGCAAACTTAGAAAAAATGTTTTTTTGTCAATTTGGCTAGAGAAAGTTCACTGTGAATATAGCCTAAAATAAATGTCAATTTAGTATAAGTAATTATAATGACAGTACAAATAGTGCATCATTTTAAAAAATTATTCGCTAACACATTATCTGTCTAAAGTCTGGAATTTTTCGAAAAAAGTCTGGAAAATGTCTGGAAAAAGTCTGGAATTTCATTTTCAAAAAGCAGTACGAACCCTGCTTGTAATACCTAGATAAAAAGTATAGGTTTAATACCTCTTATATAACTGCTAATTTCTAGGCCTAAATTCCATTCTGATAGATCAGGCAACAGTTGGGCTGATAAAGTGAGGGGAGTGAGGGCAATCACTTTCTCAACTGGCGCAGATGAGGCTGTGACCCTACAGAAGACACCTGTGATGGAGGAGAGTGCTGCACCTGTAGTCAAGGCTTCAAGTTTACCTAATCCAGTTGAAGGTACATTATGTTCAATTCACTCTAGGCCCATAAATATGTTGTATGTATTCAATATGAAGTGTTTAGTTTGTTACTATTTCTCACAGCCACAGACTCTTAAGTACAATGACAAGCTGTTACTTGATAATTTACAATTCTAAAAATGAAATCTTCAGTAGTTAATAAGTAGACGTTAAAAAATACTTTTGTTCTCAAGACACCATAGATGAAGACGGCTGGGAAACAGTACAAAGAGGCAGGCTGAGAGCTAGACAATCCCCTTGTCAAAAATCAACAGAAAACTTAGCACCCAACATCAAAAGTGCCAAAAGGAATTTAATGCGCTCCATGAGCGTTCCAGACCAGGCTAACATCAAAACCCCGAGGGAAAAGCCAGAAAAATCTCACCAAAAAAATTTACGCGCTGTATCTGAAAGGCATCTACCAGCAACTAGCTCAGGACCAACTCGTGAGAGAGCTTGCAGCAAAGACAGCGAGAAGGAGAACATTCCAGCATCGAACTTGAACAGCATGGACTCCTCCAGCACAAATAGCCCCACAGAGTCGTCCAGCACAGTCACATACAGCAGCTCTGTAAATCCTGCTAAATCTATGGCTCTTACTGATGCTCTGTCAGCAGACAAATCACTCAAGGATTCCTTAGACTTAGATATAGAGAACGTTAGTATTGTAAGTATCAAAGATTTTACTTTAAATTAAATATAGACACGTTCTTTCTTTAAAAATACATTTATTCAAGTAACACATTTGCATAACATGAATAAAAAGACATTTATATGCTTACATTTACATAAAATTAATTAAAAAAATTTCAGGACATTGACCTGGTTCTTGATGAAGAATTTCATTTGAGTAATGAACTAGAAAAAGCACAAGAATCAGCTTTGGCCTATGCTGTCCTAGAGGAGGAAAACTGGCTAAAGGAGTTGGCAAGAGAGCAAAGTTCTCAAGTTGAGGAAGACTTAGAAGAAAACAGTGATTTAGCGGTAATATTATTTTTGCTTAATTGCTGAGTCAGTGAGTGTAATTAATATAATTGAGCTGATAAATTAATGTATTGAGAGTACGGTTTTTAAGTATAATGTGGTTTGTACAATTTTTTTGTACAATTTTTAGAATACTAACAGTTCAATGGAATCTGCAACTGCTGTTATTACTGACTGGGATTCTTTAGTTGCTGTGCATGAAGGTACAATTTTTCTGTTAATTATACATATACTGTATTATAAGTTTTGTTAGTAGAATGTGTAATTTGATGTATACATAATTGTTACATATTTCTTTAGCTTTTATAACAAACATTGTTGCTGCAAAGTTCCAATGTTTTCTATTTTCTCAGCTGAAATGAAGCAGAGTAGTATGTTGTCCTGGGGGGAGTTGGTTGAAGCAGAAGAGGCCAGGACTCCTGGACATGGCGTCCATATGCATGAGAAACTTTCATCACCTTCTAGAAAAAGGTGAAAATCTCACACTTCTAATGTATAATCTAATTTAGTTTAGAATTTTTACTTACAAGTCTGCAGTGAAGTGTATGTTAAAACCAACTTGAAGCCAAATTTTCATTAATTTTTTATTTAGATCACCAACTGAATCTAGGCGACGTCATGAAGAAAAACAAGCTAAAGCACAAGAACTTAGGGGAAAACTCATGCAAGAAAAAGCAGAGCGCCTCAGGGATTTATCAAAGAAGGCGTGTTAAAATTATTCTTGCTTATTGAGACCACTAACATTTGTATATTTTAATTCCTCTTAAAAGTTTATATTAATTCTGATTTAATAGTTTCACTTTATATGAACTCTATTAGATGTAAAATCACCCTCTTAAAAAAGACTTTTAAAAGTCATTTCAAGTTTGATAAAAATTATATGTTACTTGTGGCCATTGTTTTATAAAGCTTTCACAATCAAATAATAAATGAAAGTAATATAAAAGCTTCAGAGAACTATTTTTATGAAATTTGAAGTAGCGAAAATAGTCATTACCTGTAATAGTTGATCTGATGATGGCCCTCAGGTAGAAGAGGTGAGAGCTTATAAAGAGGAGTTGATGAGGCAGAGTAAGACACTGTTGGAACACAAATTACAGCGAGCTGAAGAGAAACGTCAGTTACAACTCAAGCTTAAGGCACGGAAAGCACATGAGGAGGAAGCAAAGGTGAGATTTAAAAATGTAATATAAAGACACATGACATGCTGTAAATATTGTCTCTCATACAGACTTACAGTAGTCCTGCACTCCTTGTATGTAAACACTTCTACATTTCTTTTTAACTGTCTTGTTTGTTTGTAGTATTGTATTTATTTTCAGTAATGCATAGCATTATTTTAAACAAAAAAAGATGTAAAAAGGTCTTTGAAGAGCGATATTACAAAAAGAATTTTGTAGTTTTAAAGAATAAATTTACGACCCATAGAGCCACATTTAAACAGCGCCACAAATATTTAAAAAAAATGTGTTTAAATTTAAATCGTTACTAACTTAACGTGTAAAGTAAAACTGCGCAACTAAGATCAAATACAACTGGTTAAATTTTATGTTGTTGAAATGTTTTAACCATTAATTTAAAACGTATTTGTATAGATTAAATAAAATGATAAAAACTAAGCATATTTATAAAGGCAATATTTTTTTGGCTTTGTGTAGTAGCTTGTGTCTTATATACAACACACCATTTTGCTTCATATTAGCCCTTTGTAACTTCATCATAACATCAGTGATGAGTTTTGTTGATTTGTTAAGTTTACTTTTCTTTGTAAAAAATCATCATAACTCTTTACTATCATCCTAATTAAAGAAAGCTGTAACTTCTATCTAAGGATGGAGTCTCAGTACAGTTTGCATGTTGTCTCTATTCTTGTTTTGTTGAAACATTACCTCCCATGGCATGTTAAAGTCATCATCTGCTTTGTTGTTTTCCAAACAGTTCCATCGAAGGCATGTTCATGTGTCATCTGCGTTATCATTAAAATTGCTTTGATCAATGTTAAAGCCAAGCTTCTTGTTTTATTTTGTGGCCAGGCAAACGAGATAGCTTTTATCAACAGCCTTGAAGCACAGAACAAGCGGCATGACATCATGTCAAAACATCAGGAATCTGAGGCTCGGCTACATGAGTTGATGGTATGCATGATACCGCTTCTCTGTGCTTGCTGTTTTATTTTTAAACTTTTGTCACAAAAATTCAGAATGCTTGCTTGTTTGTTTTACATTTTTTTATTAGTTGATTTTAATATCAACTTTTTTTCTGATTCAACACAAAAATGTTTATTTTTAGCTGCTCACATGCACCTGGTACAACAAACTTTTGTTATTTGTTTGAAAAAATGTTTGAAAAAATGTTTGAAAATTGATTTGTTTTTTTGGGGTTCAGTAATGTTCTGCTTATACTTTTTTGATTGTTCAGAGTCTTGTTTTTTTCTAGGCATTGGACAGAAATATTTTTCAAAAACTTATCTGTGTAAAAAATATGGATGAATAAATGTGGGAAACTATTTGTTATTAAGATTTAATATTATTGTTATGTGGTGTCTGATTTTTAGGAATAAAGTGCACTTTTATTTATGTTGTATACAGGAAGAACGCATGCGCAAGCTTGAAGAGAAACAAGCTAAAGAAGCAGCAGTAGAAGAGAGAAGAAAAGCTCTGGAAGCAGACAGGAAAGCACGGCTGTTAGAAATGCAAGAGAAAAGAAAACTTCGTGATGCTAGGATAGAACAGCAACAAATTGAAAAGGAGAAGGAAAGGTTGGAAGCTGTTCGCGCAAGAGGAAAGTAAGTATTTCATTTCAGTTTTTATTTTTAACATTTTTTTTAACCTAACTGGTTGTAACATAAACCTTATTATTTTATTCCAGAGAAAGAGAGGAAAGAATAGCAGCTCTAAATGCAATGCAGGAAGCCCATAAGCAAGTTTTACAAAAGAAGATCCAACAAAAGGTTTGGATTTTAATAACTTAATAATTGTAAACAATTTGAGCAGTTTCATCTAATTCATTTTATTTGTCAACAATTATTGTAAGATCAGTCTTTACAACAACTTACGCAGTTTCATTTAATTTAATTGTTTGTTAATAATTGTTGTCTGATCAGTCTGTACAGTTACTAACTTTCCTCTTGCAGCAAGACGAAACTACTCAACGACATGAAGAACATTTGCAACAGATCAGAGGTCGGGCGTTTGAAATGAGTGTCATGAGACACTCAACAGAAGACCATAATGATGCACCTAAATTAACACCTTATGACAGAAACAAGCTTTGCTCCATTTGTAATGTACTGGTAAGTAACAAGACTATGGTTCATTAATGCAAGAATCATTACTACAACATTGCTGTTACATGCCCAAAGGAAATTGTATATTAGTTGTTTTTTTTTTAATTTCTCAGTACATTTTTGAAATGTTGAAGAGTGAAATTTCTAAAACTATAAGGCAAACATTTTATAGCACCTTTGTGGATTAAAGACTTAAAATTATATGGTGATGGAAGGGGGGTGGGAATCTTGGTTAACAATAGGCTACAAATTTTGTATGAGTATAAATTTAACTTGAATTCCACCAAAAGCCATGTTATGATTCATATTGTATTGTAATGGGGTGGTAAAGATAAATCCAATACAATGTACGGTTATATTAAACAAAAAAATCTTTGCATCCTTGAAATATTCCATTGCAGTTATATGTAAAATAATAAATCTAGTTGTTAAGTAATGAATCATAATCTAGTTGGTTTTTTTGTTTTTGTAAAATAATGTAGATTCCATCTGAAGTTTACCTGCTAAGTCACTTAAGAGGCAAAAAGCACCAGCAAGCTCTGAAAGATAATAGCGGTGGAAAAGAAATGACTAAACAAGATATTGTGAGTATTATTAATGCTGCATGATAATCATATTTGTTTTCAAATAAAAAAAAATTTTAAATTAAAAAATGAAAAGTCTCCTTCTTGGTGATTTGTGCTCTTAGCTGAAAGATAGTGTTCATAGTGTTGGTGGTCTTTCAATTAAAATGTCATAATTTGTATTCTCATTGCAGGAAACCTTTAATCTGAAACACATTGTTGATGCACCTGACAACAGCAATCATCCAAAGATCGTTACAGAAAAAGAAAGACAAAAAGCGCTGAAAAAACGATGTAAAAAACTGCGACAAAGAATGGTTACCAGGTTTGTTTAAATATCTAGTTGACTAAATCTTTCAAAAGGAAACATTTCTGAGAACTAAGTTTTTCCCTCTGTACATGAGTACAAAGGGACAGTGTAGCCTATAGCAGTAGAGACCTAGACTTCCAACCTGAAAGTTGTTCAAATCCAGGTTTGAGTCAGTTTAACGACCCTGTCTCCACCCAGCTTTGATGAGCTAACTCATGTCAGGGGAAGTAAATGTGGTTGGGCATTGGGCTGACCACACTGTCCCTGCATATGCTGAGGTCCCAGAAACAGGTGAACTCTGTTTCACTTGCCCCATGGGTCGTCAAGTTCAAAAGGAAACTACTATTATACATCTACTATATGAATACAAAATTACATTATATTTAATGTTAAACCTATGTTAAACAGATTATGTATCTAGTATTTATTTTTTTAAACAGAGGCCTTGAGTATGAAAACTCCTTAGCAACTAAACTCCAGTCTGCTGAGTCAGAACATAAAGCCAAGTAAGTCTCAAAGTTAGCTGAAAATGTGAAGCTTTACCCTTCTCCCCATCTCATTTGCTTAAGTGGTATTTTGTAGATGTCAAACAGTTAGTTACCTAGAAATATTCAAGTCTAATCACATTCACAGATTTAATAATGAATTGTTGACTCAATTAACATAGATGAACAGTCATTTTTAAATAGCAAGCAAGATTTATTTTGTATGCTGGAACAAACTAAAAATCAGCTGTCTTAACATAAGTAAACATACACCTGACAAATAGGTTTAATGTTGATATTTTAATGTGCCTGTCAGCTGTTAATGAAGATGATAAAACATTCAATTAGTTCACCAATCTTTCATTTTGTAATCTGTAATAATAACGGTTTTTACAAAAAAAAAAAAACCAAAAAAAAAACTGTATTTTATGTTAGAAGTAAACAAAGATCTCATTGATACCAAACTTTGTGATAAGGCTACACAAGGTTATCAAAGATATCAACAAATACCTGCAATCTCAAGACTCCGGACCTTGGCCTCAGAATAAAGTTTCTGCATTAGACAGAGCCTTAGGAGAGATTGGACGCATTTTGGAAAAAAAAGTAAGTGGCCTGTTAAACAATTACAAATCTTTTCCTTTGAGTAACAGATGGGACTAATTAGACTAATTATTCATATTATCAAAATTTACCGAATATTGAAAATTTTGTTTGATTTTTCAGTGTGTCAATGATCAAGCCTGCTTCAAAACCCTTGGTGGCTTTAGCTCTTTGAGTAGAATTTTGATGACGATAGAAAATGCAACTTCTGCTCTACCTTGTGTTATACCCTCTAAGTAAGATTGTTAGAAATTTTATTTCAAATTTTTATATCCATTGTAAACTACATTTTGTAACATACATTCAGGCATCTTTAAAATGTTTATCATGATATTTTCTAAATCCAACATTTTATAGAATCACCATCCTCCCTATACAATATTTAAAATCTGTATTCTAATGTTTAAACCACTTTATTTGTGACAGATCCCTGACACACTCAACAGATGTCTACAGACTGGCTTGTAAAAACAACTTTGACAACTGCCATTATTTGTTGTTTAGCAACAAGATAGGAGCTCTTGTGGACCATCTTATTTACAGATTAAATGTAAGTATTTATTTCCTAGCCATATTAACAGAGTTTCTTCCAGGCATCTCTTCGGGGGGGGGGGGGGGGGGGCATAGCCCCCCCCCGAAAAAATTTTACCGCCCCCCCCCCCCGAACGAAATGAAATTTATATAATTTATATAGAAAATATATACTTTTAACAGTGTCCGCCCCCCCCCCAAAGAAAGTCTACCGCCCCCCCGAAAATTTCAAGTGCCCCCCCCCCCCGGAGAAAAAAGTCTGGAAGAAACACTGCATATTAAACCTTATTATGTAGCTATATTTAGGGGATTTAAAATTTATTTTGATCAACTTTATTAAAAAAAAAAACAAAAAAAACCCAAATAACTTACATTAAAAACATTTTTTAATTACTAAATAAAAAAAAGAAAGAAATATTAGAGATTAAACTCAAGGGAAGATTGAATTATTCAAACTTACTGTAACTGTGTAAGGGGGGTAACCCCATAAATTAAGCCTTGAATTATGCCCCCTATAGATAATTTACCCCTGCTTTCCAGACAATGTTACCAGACGACTTTGGGAGACCCAGCAGTGTAGTGAGTGGCAGTGGGGCCAGCAGCAGCTCTGAGAACAGCACCACCGACACAAACAGCCTGCCCTTTGACCCTGTCTGCTCAGGCCTCATGCAAGTGCTGAGCACTGTTCTCTCATGTCTGGCCAAGAACAACCCTGCCAGTAACTGCAGTGAGGCTAGCTCTGAGCGCATGAGTGGAACTGGAGATGCATTTACTAATCGAGGAAATGATATAATCAGGTATGTCCCATAATGCATTAAGTCTGTACAAACTTGGATCTGTAGAAAGAAAAATAATTAGAAGTTTAGTAACCTTTCCGTACTGCTGATAAGAATAATATATAATAAAAATTCATTTCATTTGTAGCATGTGTCATTGCTCCTGCCATTACCTCTCTTGAGTACTTACCCCCTGTCAAAACATAAATTAGTCCTTGAATTATCCCACTGTCTCACCCATTTTCAACTCTCACACTGTCTACTTACCCCTGTTAATTAACACCCCCCACCCCCCAATCAGAAGGTTTTTACAGTTAAAGTAAATGTAAAATGGGACTGATAAATTAGAAAATGGCCTTTTTCTCTGACCTCAGTATATGAAGGGATATTGTATTCAGTAGAATATTCAGCCACCTTTATGTTCCCTGTTACAAGTCAGGTACACCTCTGAGCTGGATAGTCTTAAGCCAAAGAACCAAACTATAGACTTTTGGGTTAGTAATCATGTGCTGCACCACTTGACCACACCATCCCCAATATTTATTTAAATTTACAGCTAGATATAATTCTTGTTCAACAGTAAAATAGTAATATTTTGTGTGTTTGAAATATATGTTATTTTGCAATAAAGTAGTTTTTAAATTTCCAAACAAATTAAATAAATGAAATATCGCTTTATGTTTTCTAAAAACAAACAGCAAATTACAAGGGAGGTAATTGTTTTATACTTTAAAATTTGGTTATTTTGTGATTACCTCCCCTGCACCACAAATTTGGAAGTGTTTTTTGTTGCGCTTAAGATATAACAAAATGTTACGAAAGAAATGCCGCTATTTAAATGTGCACGATTTGGGAAGTAATCCATTCGACCTTTATTAACTAATGCAACAAATAAATATGCATTCAATTCTCATGTAAAAATATAATACATGGCCGGCCATGCATTTAATTTCAGCAATTCAGTTTCCTCTTAAAAATACAACACTAAAACCTATTTTCTAAATTCTCTACCAGTAACTACACTGTTAGAAAACTGTCCTCCTTTTTCTGGTCCAACAGTTCCTACCAAATGCTAGCTACTTTAAGATGTTTTGCGTGTTGTCTACTAGAGAATCTTTAATGAAACCCAACTAGACCACACATATACTTACAACAGTTTCTGAGCTCAAACTCTCACTTATACTTATACATATTGAGCTCACATTGATTTGTCCATATTGAACTCTGACACTGACTGCCCATGTTTAGCTGAAACTGACTTGCCCATGTTAATCTCTGACACTGACTTGCCCATGTTTAGCTCTGACACTGACTTGCCCATGTTTAGCTCTGACACTGACTTGCCCATGTTAAGCTCTGACACTGCCTTGCCCATGTTAAGCTCTAACACTGACTTGCCCATGTTAATCTCTGACATAAACTTGCCCATGTTAAGCTCTGACACTGTCTTGCCCATGTTAAGCTCTGACATAAACTTTCCCATGTTAATCTCTGACACTGACTTTCCCATGTTAAGCTCTGACACTGCCTTTCCCATGTTAAGCTCTGACACTGCCTTGCCCATGTTAATCTCTGACACTGACTTGCCCATGTTAAGCTCTGACACTGACTTGCCCATGTTAATCTCTGACACTGACTTGCCCATGTTAAGCTCTGACACTGACTTGCCCATGTTAAGCTCTGACACTGACTTGCCCATGTTAATCTCTGACACTGACTTGCCCATGTTAAGCTCTGACACTGACTTGCCCATGTTAATCTCTGACACTGACTTGCCCATGTTAATCTCTGACACTGACTTGCCCATGTTAATCTCTGACACTGACTTGCCCATGTTAATCTCTGACACTGACTTGCCCATGTTAAACTCTGACACTGACTTGCCCATGTTAATCTCTGACACTGACTTGCCCATGTTAAGCTCTGACACTGACTTGCCCATGTTAATCTCTGACACTGACTTGCCCATGTTAAGCTCTGACACTGACTTGCCCATGTTAATCTCTGACACTGACTTGCCCATGTTAAGCTCTGACACTGACTTGCCCATGTTAATCTCTGACACTGACTTGCCCATGTTAATCTCTGACACTGACTTGCCCATGTTTAGCTCTGACACAGCCTAAGTTGAGTCCCAACCGTCCACATGTTTATCATCACGTTTGTCTATCTCTCCATTGAGTTCAATTCTCTCCTCCCAACTTGCTCAAATTGTCAACAGACAGTAACTGAATCAATCAAAAAACTGTGTGGGCGATTCCTCAACTTCCGTAGGATAAAAGCCACCAAAAATTATTTCTTGAGAAAAAAAAAACGAAAGCATAAGAAAATGTTTGCCCGTGTTAGGCTATAAAAACAGTCTGGAAGACATTTTTATTTCTAGCATAGAGTGGATGGGTGGTGAGGGTCAGATAGATTTGGAAGCAAGTTTGGATATTCCTAGAGGAGGGAGGGTGGCGAGGGGTGATTGGGAAGCCGAGATTCCTGGGGTATTGATCAGCAGCTTCTTGTATCGATGACGAGGCTAAAAGAGACGGATGTGAAAATCCGGCCTGAGAGGAAGTGGAGCCCCGTAAAAAAATGGAGGGCGGGGAAAGGGGGGAAAAAGGAGGGTCTGAGGCAACTGGAGTGTGTAGACAAAGATGGCGGTTCTATTGAGTTGTGTTGGCTGGCACCTCGCACTCGGGCACTTGGGCTATTTACTAATTATATTGTATCGGGGGATTCTCCCTTCCTTAAAACATCAGTGGAAGATGCTTGGACTAATTGATAAAATATTACTTCATTTCCCCTCGCCGTTGTCGGCCAGTCTCCTCGCTCGAGGGCCATTGCTCCGGGCCTATTTGTCCACTATGTTCATTTCCTGCTGGGGCAGCCCGTGAATAACGAGAGCCCATTTACTTCTCGCATCTAATGGCTCCTCAATACGAGTTTTAATGCTATTGACCTCGCATAGAGGGCTCACAACCTCAAATCTTATGACAACTCTGCTTTCAGTCTCCCTCCCCTTCTCCTTAGCCCATTTATTTTGTTAATCCCATGATCGGCCCGGCCTCTCTATTATTCCATTTAAACCACTCGACAGTGCCCTTTTCAACTGTATTCGCCCACCCCACCCCTGGGGATGTTTGTTGACTGAGATGCGCATGATGAAATTAATGATCTCACTGGGCAAATTAGCTAAGGGTCTTCAGAGCCGCCAAGTAAATCATCGGGACTCTGCTTTTGTTGTAGGCACGGGTTGGTTGATGAGAAGCGGAAGTAGCTTTTGATGGTGTTAGGGGTGATACTAGTACCACTGAGTAGCTTTTTGGTGGTATTCATAGATCATACTAGAGCACCATCGTCACTTTTTGGTGGTGTTCTTTGATCCTACTAGTGCACCATCGTCACTTTTTGTTGGTGTTATTTGATTATACTAGTACACCATCGTCACTTTTTGATGGTGTTCTTTGATCCTACTAGTACACCATCGTCACCTTTTGATGGTGTTCTTTGATCCTACTAGTGCACCATCGTCACTTTTTGTTGGTGTTATTTGATTATACTAGTACACCATCGTCACTTTTTGATGGTGTTCTTTGATCCTACTAGTACACCATCGTCACTTTTTGATGGTGTTATTTGATCCTACTAGTGCACCATCGTCACTTTTTGATGGTGTTCTTTGATCCTACTAGTACACCATCGTCACTTTTTGATGGTGTTCTTTAATCCTACTAGTGCACCATCGTCACTTTTTGGTGGTGTTCATACTAGAGCACCATTGAGACACTTCTTGGTGTTCTATAATTGATATAAGATCTAGTGCCACATGTCATATTAGCCCGGTGATTCTCATTCTATCCCAATTGTCACTAGCTATACTGCCCCACCCACCCCCTCTTCTGACGTATCGTATGTTACGTGTTATGCAGGGAACGTGTTATGCAGGGAACGTACACACCAGCATTCACAGTTAATTATTTTGTTCTCATGTCCGTGCACACTAACTGTAATCCTGCGCTTTAATTTGTCATGTATTGTTGTACTGTTGTACACAGGCCTGTGTTGTTGTATAACGTAATGTGTATGCTGTAGCCATTTCCTGTTTTGTTTCAGCTACATCATCAGTGTAGGTGTGATAGACAAACTACGGACCTACTGCAGTGCTGTGCGGGGTCCTATCGATGGTGACAAGAACTCGGCTGACTTCCTGCTGCACGGTTTAGGGCTGCTCGTTGCTATGACCAAGTTTATGTCCAAAAGGTGAGTCACCATCTAGCATACTGGAACAGTTTTAACGGCTTTAATTTAGTTATTTTTAACTCGGTAAAATATTCCATGAAATATTCCATCAAGCGATTTTGTCTTGTTATTTTAATTAAATAAAATAAATATTGTTTGAAAATAGTTCCCACCAAAAACCTGTGTTAAAGTTATGAAGGGTTCGCAGCTCTTGAGGTGAAGACATTTTCTTCTTTGGTGGACTGTCTAAAAGCTTTAACACCTCTTTGATTAAACATTCATATTAGTGTCCCCCACCCACACACAGATGAACAACTCTTTCATTAAACATTTATATTAGTGTCCCCCACCCACACACAGATGAACAACTCTTTCATTAAACATTCATTTTAGTGCTCTCCCACAAATGAATACCTCTTTTATCAAACAGTCACCCTAGCGTCCTCCACAGATGAATATTTTATTTTAATAACACACCTAAAATCTTGATACAACAATTTGTTGGCTCCATCCAAGGAATACTTCCCTAAATGTAATATAGAACTAGATAATGTGTCCAATGACCAGACCTTCTATATTGTCCACTTACCAATTCTATTCTGATATGTTGGAGAATGGCTACTGGTACAACTAGGGAGTAAACATAATGAAATATGTTTTAAATGGAAATAGCCTGATAATAGTTTTAGAAAAGTATAAGCCCTCATACATTAGGTTAGGCTACAATTTAATATCTGGGCTAAGACGTGGATAAGTTGACAGATAGTGAAGAATTAAAACGATAGAAGGAGACCGATAGAAGGAGACCGGAGACTTGACTATACTTGGACCAACAAACTTTACTCTTCACTTGAACTAGTGTTGTATACTTTGAGTCTTAACAATATGTAAAACAAGTTTTTATTGTCTACCCAGTAGTTTCGTTTTTTAGTCCCTACAATATAATATAGAGCTACTGTATTAGTCAACTTGTATAGCGCTTCTGCTCATTGAACTATATTTTCGAGATAGGCCCTGTACGCAATAGTTGTAAACCAAATGTGTATTTATCAGATAGCAATCAGATTCTCCATACACTTAATCCTGAAAACATGGGACATCTAAAGTAAAGATTTCCCTCCCGTTTAGACTGGCTGTCTGCTATTTTCACTATTTACAAGCTGATACTGACTTTTGACTTACAATTACACATTGTTTCGTGTCGCCTTTGTTCTGTACTTGGTGTTTGTGTACCGATCCACGTTATACATAATAGAGAAGCCAGAGCAATGCCCTGTCCACGGGTAGCCTCCCCTGGTGTAGTTGGTGTTTGAGACAAAAACGACAGTCATCTAATTGGATTATTTCCCTTCTAGGTGTCGGGGTCTCTTCACACCACTACGCCATTAGGGCGTGTTCCCAAACATGGCCTTAAGGCTGTTCACACCCTTGGCCAATCTGGCCACTTTGCCAGCGACACGCCGGGGGAATTTTTTAGGTAGACTTGTGACAAATATGACTCCCGGGACCACAGCTGACTTGCCATGTTGGCATTAACTGGACTGAAAACATTTGGTCAAATAAAGCCGAAGGACAAACATAACCCAGTTTCTTTTGCATCTGTCCCCACGCTTCCTGCTCAGTTCGGGTACAAACACAGTGATGTTGGTGCTTGTTTGCCTTGGATAAAGATAATATTACATACATTTTTCTGTGCTTTTTTTTACAGTAATAATAGAAGTCGTATTATAATTAAAAAGGATAAGATTTAAATTTTTAAGAAAAATTAGCCATAAATTAATGTGATATAAGATTGAATTTTTAAGATGAAATAGCCTTAAAGTAATAGTTTTTTTTTTGTTCCTTCTTTAACAAGATCGTGTCTTTTGTTTTTGAAAGTCTACATGTTCATTACCATCACAAGTAAACTGTACGTAAAGCAGCGTAACAATGTATTATAACTGTGTAGACTGTAGTTGACTGAGTAACAAGAACGCCTCATCTGATCTAAACCCTTCTGGCATCAAACATTCAAGGACAGATTTTTTGCGCCTGTACCAAACATCTCCCTAGACCTGGGGTCAGCTCCCGCTTAAGTCCGGCACCTCTCTTTAAGTGCTGAGTGCTGTAGTAGCCGCCCTGGGCCTCGAGTTGTCCTCCCTAGTGGTGACCACCGCAGTTTGGAGCATCTCGTGGCCCCTTGTGAGAAATGTAGCGCCGCTACCAGTAACGTGAGACCCGGGCTGAGCTCATGAATGATTCAATCGCAGCTTAAAATCGCACGCCTTCTGTCCATAATTTAGGAGAGAAAAATATGGGCCTTTCAACACGGGACAAAGCGTTTATTTAGTTTATAAGGTCGGCTCTGACGTTTACGATGTTTCACAGTGTAATTGTTGGCGTTGTGTGGGATCACGTTAGCCTTGCAATATTTTTTTTATCAAGGCGAGGCTGTGAACATCACTAGAAGTGTTTAAGTTGATGACCGTGTGATATGTGTCGGATGATGGTGTATGTCGCGATGATGTGGTGTGAGAGGATGGTATGATGTTGCATTGATGGTGTGATGTTGCGATTATGGTGTGATGTCGCGATGATGTTTTAATGTCTTGATGATGGTTTAATGTAGCGATGATGTTGTGATGTCGCGATGTTGATGAAATGATGTCCGGGATGTTTTAATTATGTATCCGAGCGAGAGTGTGACCACATGATGTAATGTGAACACACGGGAGACCTGTCCCAATTGGTGATCAAAGCTTTATGAAATGTGTTGGTCAACAAGCCAAATGCTAACCTGGCCCATTCATTAGCACGGCCTGGCCGCGACTGTTTGTCCACCTTTCTGCGTCGTCCAGCGGGCAGAGCGTAACCCCGGGGTTAGCAACACTGCCGCCGGAGGGAGCTGTTTGCCTGCAGTTGATGGTGCTAGCCTGGATGATTCGAACGTCAATACCGTGAATGGATTTGGAAACAAATGTCTCATTTATAGTGTTCGCACTGTCCTCTTCATCTGATTTGCATTGGGGTAAAATGTAGGGAAGGGATATGACAAAAGATACATTTTCCCATTGTGGAGGATGGCGCGTGCACTCGGCATCACCGCCGAGAGTTGCAGGTTTACTTTGAAACCACTGGGGTTTTATTTCAACCCGCGCCGCGTATTGGCTTTAGATTTGCTTTGGTGTCAAAATTGCCATGGTAAAAGCGGGTAGGGAGTGAACGTGGACGATCGCTTCTTTCATGTCGAAGGTTTTTGTTTTAAAGTATTGTTCCGTGCGGACTTCAGTGTATCACCTTTTAACGACGACCTTAATTGTTAACGCTGTTCTCCATGGAATACTGGTAATTCGCGTCAAATGTTTCAATTGCCTACATTATTGACATCCGATTGTTTCCCCTTAGGGCACATTCTGTGGTTTTAGCGCGGTAATTGGCACGGTTTTTCTAATGTGTATGTAAAAAAGAAACTAAAACAAAGCCGGACTTCGTACTTCAACTTTTTTCATTACACGGTTTATTGAATCTGTTTTAAAACAGCTTTTACATTAATGCTGTTTGGGGTTAGTCAAAGAGAAGCTATTTACCGTTAGAAGAAAAAAGTAGGTTGGAGGTCGATGCTGTGCATTCAGTGTTTGAAACCTGACTTGGTCTGACTCGATACGTTGGTGAGGGGGACAATGGCTGGCTGCAGGATAAAGAGCTGACGGTCGTGATGGCACTGACTCAATGTCTCTCGTCATGTTTATAGCACGCTTAGATCCGGTCTCAACGGACGGCAGCCCCCACTAACTAGCGGGACGTTAAATATTTGTTTCATAATTACTGGTTCCTACCCTCCGTGATCCCGACCGTACGTGTATACTACATGGTGGGTCGTGTGTTTACTTGAATCTTCCAGCACGATTCCATCACGACTAGAACAAGTGGATTAAAAAAAAATTCCACTTGGTGGTTTTAGAGTTACAAAACTATGTGACCTATCTCAACCATACAGTTATATATCATTATCAATCTATAAAATTGTTCAGTGAATTTATTGGTATTTTTATCTTCATTTAAAAAAAAATATTGATCATTGAATTGATAGATCAACTAGAATTTTTTAAAGCAATATGACCCGTAACGATAATCCTTGAGTTTGAATTAGAATGTCAGCACCCCTTCTTGGCACTTGTCATATAACAAAAGATGTTTTAACGTTTACTTTTTTTTTCAAAACCCCTGAATGCTGTGATTGAGTTCTTGTTAGTGAGTTGAGATTTCCCGGCAATTATTGCAGACCGAGACCATATTGAATGCCAGCATTGTGGCGGGGAGAGCGTGGGGGCAGGCGTAAGATGGAACAACAGGTCAGGAATCGCTGTATCCCCGTCAATAAGGCTCCACCCTTTTGTTTGCAGACAGCGGTGCCGGAATGTGCTCACGGGTTGTGATTTCACTGAAAGCCCCGCTCCTTGTGCCGCTTGTAGACCCATTGTCTCGGCGCCCCTGAATACACACATTCATACACACACACACAACCGGCCCGGCATTTCAATAGGCGGCTCGTGTCAATAATGTCAAACGACCAGGACTCCGCACTCGAAGTCTAAAGGAAGAAAAAAAAAAAAAAAATGATTAAAATATAGAGCGAGGGACAGAAGAATAAAATGATGAAAATCTGAAGCTGTATAGGGGCGGGGTGGGGGGGGGGGGGGGGGGGGAGGAAAAGTAATCCTTTCGTAAGGTGGAAGAAAAAAAAGTTCGAATGTAGGCGATGATGATTGAGGCTGTGGAGTTGAATAAAAGTCGGCACCAATGGAAATCGTTGCATTTACCGATTGTCGTTGGCTGCAAGAATGTCGTAAGTGGCACATATGAAGCAGAAACCCAACTTTTTGCTCGTTACTCCCTGCCCATCGATCACACCAGGGTAGCTTCTGGCATCTATTGATTCATGCAAACTTCTTTCACAGCTGCTACATAGGGGGGGGGGGGATTCACTTTTGTCATGAATTATTCAAAAAAATCACCTAACTTAATATTACTAATCTTTTATTTGCGTGTATTATGTGTACTTTCCTTCACTCTTAACTGTAGGGGACTGAACATCCAACGGTGTAGTTGGACTGTTGTTGCACGCCATCAGTCGTTTGCTGTCTTGTCTTGGTTCTCGAGATGTTTTGATAATCACTCATGATGTAATCGTTGAGTGAAATTGGGGCTGTATTTAGATTCACTCATGATGTATTCATTGAGTGAAATTGGGGCTGTATTTAAAATCACTCATGACGTATTCATTGAGTGAAATTGGGGCTGTATTTAAAATAACTCATGATGTGTTCGTTGAGTAAAACCAGTGCTGTATTTAGATTTACTCACGATGTATTCGTTGAAGGAAATCAGTGATGTATTCAAAATCACTCATTATGTATTCATTGAGTGAAATTGGGGCTGTATTTAAAATCACTCTTCGGGGGCATCTCAACCTCCCCTCTCACCCAAAGTTTCCTGAGCTCCCAAACCCGAGAAAATAGTCGGAAAGAAACACTCGTATTTCTCAAGTAAAGTCGTTGCTATTTGAAGAATCACTCATGATGTATTTATTCCTTGAATAAAACAGTGCTGTTTTGTTAATCACTCATGTGATCATTGAATGAAGTCGGTGCTGTATTTTCCGAACCCTACCGAGACTTGTGCAGTCTGTATTTGTGTTGGACGACAATAACAATAACTCCATCTGTAATGGGCGACTATAACTATTCCCCGCTCGATAACTCCTGTTTATGTAAGTCAGTACTGAAAGGGTCGCGGCGGAGTGGTTTGATCTTAGTTTAGCTCAGGAAGTCATGAATCGGTTAGCTCAACACATTGAACACATGACGTTAGACTTCACACGATTCATATTCCAGCGTCGCCGTGTTGGTCGTGTTGGTGTTGGGCTAAAGTTGGCAATCGATGCTTGGTGAGTGCTTTAGTGGCTCAGCTTGACCTGCCTCACACTGTTACATACCCCACCCCTCCTGTAGCCGTTTGAATTTACTTGGCGTTATGTATCTGATAGTATATAATGTATCTGATAGTATATAATGTATCTGATAGTATATAATGTATCTGATAGTTTATAATGTATCTGATAGTATATAATGTATCTGATAGTATATAATGTATCTGATAGTATATAATGTATCTGATAGTATATAATGTATCTGATAGTATATAATGTATACGTGTTTTTAAATAAAATTACACTACTTTGTGCGTATGGTAGTTGTCTGAAGTTATTGTATTCAAGTTAAGTTTGTGATAGTTTAGTGGTCCGCGGGTGTATGTCTTGTAGCTACTTATTGCTATTAACCTTAAACTAATCCAGATCTAAGCCCTACTCTCGTACGTAGTTCCAACCTTGAGTATATGAAGACTGCCACTAAAAATTACCTTGAAATTACAGTTTATCTAACCTGCACTTTAAACTATACCATTTATAAGACACGTAGTTTAAAAAAAAATCCTTCTCTTCTGACTGTCCAGAAACGCGAGCATCTTTGACAAGAAGCGACCGGAAGACCCGACCCAGCTGATCTACACGTTTGAAGTGACAGAGCTGGTTGGCATCGTCTCTCTGCTCTACGGCATGCTGCTCCACTCTGGGGCGCCCAGCCGCAGCATTGACAGCCTCCCGCGAGAGTTGGCGCCCCAGACGGTCAGCATCATCCTAGCCGGACTGCGCATGCTCAACTACATGGCCGTGCTGGACCTACAGATGCTACAGGTGAGTTCTGTGGGGGAATGTGTGTGGGGGAGACTGTAGCAAGTGTGTGGGGGAGACTGTAGCAAGTTAAGGGGGGGGGGGGAAGGGGAAGAAATAGTGATGTGGCACACATTCTGAATCTTTTAAAAGAACAACACAATTTTATTTTGAATTATTGTTAAGTACAAGATTTGACTTCATTTTACATGATGTGCCTCTAAAATTTTCGGACCAGTGGAGGGGGAGGGGGATAAAAATAAAAAAATACATTGACATCTCACAAGAACCGCTCCGAATATGTAGATTTTTTTCTCAGTTTTTCTTACTCCCTCCACCCCCCCCCCCCCCTTCTACTTTAAAATTGTGTTTTTTGTAATTGCCATTTAAAATATAATGATCCTAACGAATTATCAAATAATGACCGTCATTATGTCTGTACCGTATGTCTCCCCGTGATTTCAGCAGTGTGTATCAGATATTTTCCCCACGGTGGAGATGGACCAAAGCTGTTTGCACATATCGCCACACGCTGGGAGGCACAACCGGATAGCTCTGTGCTCCCCACGCTCTCAAACACAGGGGGCAACAGTTGCATTGTTTGTCAAACCCTTCATCGCACTCGTACTCAATGCCACCCCCACCCTCCTTCATAGTTCCCCCCCATCCCCTTTGATAGTCCCCAGCCTCCTTCATAGTCCCCACCCTCCTTCATAGTCCCCCCACCCCCACCCCTTGATAGTTCCTTTCCCCCCCCCCCCCCCCCCCCCCGTCTACTTTTGTTTTAGAGATTTATTATATTAAAAAAATGTCTCGTCAGATAACGGTATCAACAGTTTTTTTTTGTCAACTCGGATGTAGGGACCACCTGTCAGTGATATCTTTGGTTGTATTTACGTGTTCAATATTGAGGGGTCTGAATAGTGGTTAGAACATGGATCAAACTAGCTTGGTGATCTCGTTGATACAAAAGTTGATAGAATCACCATACCGTAGATCCATTATATCACTAGGTTGGTGATCTCATTAATACAACCAAAGTTGATAGAATCACCATTTGACAGATCCATTATCCTACTAGCTTGGTGATCTCATTAATACAACCAAAGTTGATAGAATCACCATACGACAGATCCATTATCCTACTAGCTTGGTGATCTCATTAATACAACCAAAGTTGATAGAATCACCATACGACAGATCCATTATCCCACTAGCTTGGTGATCTCATTAATACAACCAAAGTTGATAGAATCACCATACGACAGATCCATTATCCCACTAGCTTGGTGATCTCATTAATACAACCAAAGTTGATAGAATCACCATTTGACAGATCCATTATCCCACTAGCTTGGTGATCTCATTAATACAACCAAAGTTGATAGAATCACCATACTCTGCCAGCAGAGCCAGTCTGAAATAGGGAGGAGTCGTTTCAATCTTCACGTGAATATTTGGCCTTTTTCTGCTATCTTGCCTGCATAACTAGCAAGTACAGCCGCGCTCTTTCGGCTTGTGATGAATGTGGGAAATTTATAATAGACACCTGCCCTGCTGGGGTCTAGGGTGCAGTCAACCCCAAAAGAAAAAGGAGAGAGGCGTTTATTTTTACAGCTCTTGCTTCTTGTCCACTAGTGGCCGTGTCTTTGGGTTGATCTTGTTCCCCTAGTACTAACTGGACGGTGGTAATTTGACATCAAGTCTAGTCGTTACCTTGTACGGGTGGAGGTCTAGGGGTGCAGTCAACCCCATATCTAAAAGAAAAAGGAAAGAGGCGTTTATTTTTACAGCTCTTGCTTCTTGTCCACTAGTGGCCGTGTCTTTGGGTTGATCTTGGTCTCTCAGTACCAACTGGACGGCGGTAATTTGACATCAAGTCTAGTGGTTACCTTGTACGGACACTAGGTCTACATCTCAAAGCAACTGTTTGTTTTTCTTACTTTTCATGTAGTCGCCCCAATTATGTTGTGCTCAAGTGTATTCCCCTCTTACCACCCAGCCCCGCGCCCTTATCGACCTCGGCCACTAAACGGAAGCAAGCGGTTGACAGATAGAATGATACGGTTTACGAACACGCCCGCAATATGTCTGAACTCTGATGAGTGCGTGTGTAGGTAGTGTGATAAAAAAAAATGGAGCTAAAAACATGAAGGAAACAAGGAGGCTTGGAGCGGATGGGAAGCGAGGGAGACAAAAGGGCGAAGTCTGCCTTTGGCGTTGGTGACGGCGTTTCTCTTATTTCTTCCATCAGAAGAATGTTTTCTCTAGTAACCGGCTCCGGCCGTCTGGTATGGGGGCGTCTCGGGGAGACGCGGGGATTCGTTAAATAGGCAGATTATATAGGAACTTGTACTTGGTAAATATAAGCACAACCAAAACACGTTCGCTGGGTGGTCTGCCTTTGTAGTGCATACAACCGGAAGTTTGAAGTTGGCCACGTCTGGTTTGCGTCATTGACAGAGACTTTAAGTGGTCGAGTTTCTTGACAGTGTTCAATTCTCATGTCAGTGTTTTAGTTTTTTTTTTTTTTTGTCAATGTTTTAGTTTCTTGTCAATGTTAGAATTCTGCTAACTTTTTTATAACTCATCAATAAACTAAAATAAAAAGTTCTGAAAGCTTATCCTGTATCGAAAGTTGGCCTAGACATTGAACTACTTCTTTAGGGTGCGACTGTGTTTATTGTCAGTGTAAACGGGGCCCCAATTTCTTATTACTGAACCCCCCCCCCCCCCTCCCCAGATATGAGTATATATGGGTATTCTCGAACTAGTAATGTTTTTTGTGGGAATTCAAATGCCATGAAGGCCCTCTGAATTTATAGATGGCTCTTGTGTATACTCCGTTTTTTTTTTTATTTTCCACCGTGCCTGGGGTGGGGGGGGGGGACGACACACAATTCAAATAAAACCTCATGACAACAGGTATTTCAACCTCCACTAGGCCACCACAAAATTATTTATTTTCTATTACTCAAGTCCACTAGCTTAACCCCTGAAGTCTACGGAACACATGCCCCCCCCCCCATCTCCATTGTAATGGTTTGTTAAATCTATAGTATAGTCATGCATTAGTTTAACTTTAATGTATAACGTAATGTATCTCAACAGAAATTAAACTGCCTCTAGCGTAAGCGGCCCTTAACTTTGACCAGTACTAATCCACTCTCCTCTCTAATAATAATACACCCAGGCGAAGGGGGCCCCAACAGTTATATCAATTAAACTACTCAACTCTAATGATATATACATGTAAGTGTAGGGGGCCCAATGGCACCACAAACATCAAACCAGACAGCCATTTAATGATAAATAGAGCTAAGTGTATAGGGCCCCAACAGTCGGCACTACAGGGATCAAATAATCAAGACCTTGGTAGGTCTAAACATTTATCGTCGGGCCTATAGAGCTAAGTGTATAGGGCCCCAACAGTCGGCACTACAGGGATCAAATAATCAAGACCTTGGTAGGTCTAAACATTTATCGTCGGGCCTATAGAGCTAATAGTATAGGGCCCCAACAGTCGGCACTACAGGGATCAAATAATCAAGACCTTGGTAGGTCTAAACATTTATCGTCGGGCCTATAGAGCTAATAGTATAGGGCCCCAACAGTCGGCACTACAGGGATCAAATAATCAAGACCTTGGTAGGTCTAAACATTTATCGTCGGGCCTATAGAGCTAAGTGTATAGGGCCCCAACAGTCGGCACTACAGGGATCAAATAATCAAGACCTTGGTAGGTCTAAACATTTATCGTCGGGCCTGGCATCTGGTCCTGCATCAAGGTGAGGGCAGGGGGCGTGAAGAGTTTGGCAGGTACCACGGCCTGACGAGCGGCTGGAGGTTTGATTCAATTACCCCTACCTGGAGCTGTGGAGCCTCGCTTGTTTGCAGAGTTAAAAGGTTATGGGGAGCTTGTTTTGTTTTCACTGCTAGTCGCCTCGACAAATCTACGGGCTCTTCCCACTAAAAATGTTTACCGTGTCGCCTGCCCATTATTTCTCAGTTCACGGAAAGCCTTGGGATCATCTCCAGAAAAGTGACAACTGCGTTTACTTCATTAAGAAGTTTGGTTAGCACGGGGGATCCCTGCACTATTCTACGCGTCATAACATTCGCATTCTTCTCACTTACCCATCTCTGGCGTTACACAAATATATACGCTCTCTAACGCTGTGGCTGTTAGGCTATTTTCTTGTTTGAATTCGACCCATACCCTTCGACCCATACCCTCGCCCCTTTTGTTTACGATCTAAGGTGAACGGTGAATTAAACTCGCTAGATAATAGAGATTTATTTGTAATACATTTGTCGATAAAGACCTAACTAATATAAATCAATTTAAAATGCACATTAGCAATACGTTTATCTCACAATTAGGTTTAACCAAGAGTTATTTTTATCTTATTGCAATTGCTAGTAAAAATGCATTAAAATAACGTAATGCTAAAAATGTAAATAAACACTAAATTTTATTTTCTATTTACCGAAAACGAAACCTGCATAAATTATATATTATGAATGTCAAAGATTTGAATCTAACGTGCATTAATTAATAAATTTCCTGTATAAACATAAGCCCCGTTCACAACGAGATGTTAGAGATAAGCTGCGATAGCTATCCCGAGCCTCTAATTTTCCTGTAGACATCCTACACCGGGCCCCTGACTCCCCTAACAGAGCCCCGGCTGCCGTACGAGTTATTGTTTAGGGAACATGGAGCGCCTGATTGTTGGAGTCTAGCACAATGTTATCAGCAGCTGGTCGGGTTATTCATAATTCTAGAGCACTGCTGGAGTTGGTGGGTGTTTCCGTCATCAGATAACTGCTCTAGTCGCAAGCTGTCCAGTGTGTTGGTCAAGGGGTGTACACGTCACAGCTATTGGCTTTAGACATGTGTATGTTGTGGAGGTTGTAAGATAACTGCTGATGGTGCAAGCTGTCCAGTGTGTTGGTCAAGAGGTGTACACGTCACGACTATTGGCTTTAGACATGTGTATGTTGTGGAGGTTGTAAGATAACTGCTGATGGTGCAAGCTGTCCAGTGTGTTGGTCAATAGGTGTACACGTGATAGTGCAAGCTGTCCAGTGTGTTGGTCAAGAGGTGTACACGTGATAGTGCAACCTGTCCAGTGTGTTGGTCAAGGGGTGTACACGTCACAGTTATTGGCTTTAGACATGTGTATGTTGTGGAGGTTGTAAGATAACTGCTGATGGTGCAAGCTGTCCAGTGTGTTGGTCAAGGGGTGTACACGTCACGACTATTGGCTTTAGCCATGTGTATGTTGTGGAGGTTGTAAGATAACTGCTGATGGTGCAAGCTGTCCAGTGTGTTGGTCAAGGGGTGTACACGTCACAGTTATTGGCTTTAGACATGTGTATGTTGTGGAGGTTGTAAGATAACTGCTGATGGTGCAAGCTGTCCAGTGTGTTGGTCAAGAGTTGTACACGTCACGACTATTGGCTTTAGACATGTGTATGTTGTGGAGGTTGTAAGATAACTGCTGATGGTGCAAGCTGTCCAGTGTGTTGGTCAAGAGGTGTACACGTCACAGCTATTGGCTTTAGACATGTGTATGTTGTGAAGGTTGTTAGATAATCTAGTCGCAAGCTGTCCAGTGTGTTGGTCAAGAGGTGTACACGTCACGACTATTGGCTTTAGACATGTGTATGTTGTGGAGGTTGTAAGATAACTGCTGATGGTGCAAGCTGTCCAGTGTGTTGGTCAAGAGTTGTACACGTCACCACTATTGGCTTTAGACATGTGGAGGTTGTGGAGGTTGTAAGATAACTGCTGATGGCGCAAGCTGTCCAGTGTGTTGGTCAAGAGGTGTACACGTCACGACTATTGGCTTTAGACATGTGTATGTTGTGGAGGTTGTTAGTTAATCTAGTAGCAAGCTGTCCAGTGTGTTGGTCAAGAGGTGTACACGTCACAGCTATTGGCTTTAGACATGTGTATGTTGTGGAGGTTGTTAGATAACTGCTGATGGTGCAAGCTGTCCAGTGTGTTGGTCAAGAGGTGTATACGTCACAACTATTGGCTTTAGACATGTGGAGGTTGTGGAGGTTATTAGATAATCTAGTCCAGGGGTCTCCAAACTTTTCAGTCAGAGGGCCGCATTACCCATCAAATTTCAGTTCGGGGGCCAGTTTCTTCCAGGCATGTCTTTAATTTTTCTGGGCAAAGTTCCTCAGCCATCACAAACAGACAATTTTTCCTTGGACAAAAAGATCTCCGCGGGCCGGATGATAGAACTTCGCGGGCCGCATCCGGCCCGCGGGCCGTAGTTTGGAGACCCCTGATCTAGTCGCAAGCTGTCCAGTGTGTTGGTCAAGAGGTGTACACGTCACGACTATTGGCTTTAGACATGTGTATGTTGTTAGATAACCTAGTCGCAAGCTATCCAGTGTGATGTCAAGAGTTGTTCATGTCGCGATTAGAAACATGAATAAAATTGATCTGTCTGGGGCTTAGTGTTCTAGTTGATATAAAATAAAAACCTCAAGTCGTCATTACTGGCCATGTAATACTGTCCTCAATAATCCGATCATCTGAATTAATCATTCATCTTTAATTGAGTGATTAAAGTTAAATGCCTAATGCTCACGGGCTGGGAAATTTATGTCTATGCTATTGGACAAAATTATAAGCAATAAAACTTGATATCGCTTCAAACAGCGGCACGTCTCTTGAATAATCCCAGCAATTTCCCCTCTCTGTTCGACTCATCTGTTTATTCCCCGTGTTAAAAAGGTCCAACACGCTCTCATTGATGTCATTTGTCAGACATTCGTCCCGTGATCTCTGCCCCCTTCAGGTGGAGCCTAATTGGCCTAAGTTTGAGGGCGTCTCCCCTGTCGGACGTGCCCCGACAGATAGGAAGCAGAGCGCCCTGGCACAGCGCAGGTGACCGGGCCGGGTGTAGATTGAATTATTCCCGTCTTGTGTTTTCCCCTCCGTCTGTTTACACATGTGATAGTGGCCGGCAGATTAGCGCAGGATAACTCCTCCTTCCCGACGTCGGGGCATCTGCACGGGCTGTCATAAGACTGTATGGACGTTGATTTCGTCTGCTCCTGAATTACGACTTCATTTTTCAATCAAGACACTTGACGTCTGATGCGAGACGTGTCGGTGTTGATTGTTTAAAAAAAACGTACTTGTTGTTTTTTGGTGTCATGTTGTATTTTTGAATTCGAGTTTTAGCTGGGTAGGCACAAAGATTAAATAATTGTCGATTTTTATAAAAATAGCTGAAGTTATTACATATTGTGAGACTATAATGACCAGACTCACATTTCAATGTAAAATTTCCGTAGAGTCGTGTAATTTCTAGTGTGATAACATGGTGAAAGTGTGTATGCTCCAGTCACTTGAATGGATATAAACAAACATGATATTAAACTGAAATATAAATGTTTGATAGAAGAGTTCCAATGGAGAATGTAATTGCGTGTGTTAACATTGGTACCTACTGAGAGAATGTAATTGCTTATGTTAACATTGTTACCTACTTAGAGAATGTAATTGCATATGTTAACATTGTTACCTACCGAGATAATGTAATAGCATATGTTAACATTGGTATGAGAGAATGTAATAGCATATGTTAACATTGGTACCTACTGAAAGAATGAAATTGTATATGTTAACATTGGTATGAGAGAATGTAATAGCAAATGTCCACATGTGTACCTAATGAAGGTTTGTTCCTCCACAGAGCACCCTGGGAGAAGAGGGCCTGTCTCTGGAGTTCCGTCACATCGCCAGCTACCTCATCTGGTACTGCTCTCACGTCACAGCGGAGGAGCTGCTCCATGAGGTGGTACTCTGTGTGGGATACTTCTCTGTCCTTCACCCTGACAATCAGGTCAGTTGCTTTTACACTCGTCATCTCATATTCATTGTTAGATACATTTCATACCTTGTTCTGTAGTGTTAATTTTATTGCTTTCTCAGAAAAGTAATTGTCTGAATCTCTTAACACTTAGGTGCATAATGGCTTAATGTAACATTCATACACACTGTAAAATGCTTTCAAAGTTTTAAAAATGAAATGGAATGTGTGGTTGTCATGTGTATTTAAAAATTATAATGTACATTAGTCATGTGTGAAACAATAACCACAAGCTCCCCAAAGCTGTAAGCTACACTAAATATATTACCTCGCTCCAGCTCCTGAAGTTTGAAGCTTCCCTTGTACTGTAACTTCTAAAACATTCCTTCCTATAAACTCATATGGAGTTGTAAACTCCCTTAAGCTCCTCTGGGATTGTAAGTTCCTTAAAATGTGTAAGCTTCACTAGAGTTGTGAGCTCCGCTAAATTAGTATTAGTAATCCCCAGTCATTATGTAAGCTCCACTAACTTCGAAAGCTCAGTGTATGAGCTCCAATTGTACGCGGTTGTAAGATGGGCTTAAGTTTGACTTTCTGCTCAACTCAGCCATCACACTGTCGGCCATCACACTGTCGGCCATCACACTGTCGGCCATCACACTGTCGGCCATCACACTGTCGGCCATCACACTGTCGGCCATCACAGTGTCGGCCATCACAGTGTCGGCCATCACAGTGTCGGCCATCACAGTGTCGGCCATCACTGTCGGCCATCACAGTGTCGGCCATCACAGTGTCGGCCATCACAGTGTCGGCCATCACAGTGTCGGCCATCACAGTGTCGGCCATCACAGTGTCGGCCATCACAGTGTCGGCCATCACAGTGTCGGCCATCACAGTGTCGGCCATCACACTGTCGGCCATCACACTGTCGGCCATCACAGTGTCGGCCATCACAGTGTCGGCCATCACAGTGTCGGCCATCACAGTGTCGGCCATCACAGTGTCGGCCATCACAGTGTCGGCCATCACTGTCGGCCATCACAGTGTCGGCCATCACACTGTCGGCCATCACACTGTCGGCCATCACACTGTCGGCCATCACACTGTCGGCCATCACACTGTCGGCCATCACAGTGTCGGCCATCACAGTGTCGGCCATCACAGTGTCGGCCATCACTGTCGGCCATCACAGTGTCGGCCATCACAGTGTCGGCCATCACAGTGTCGGCCATCACAGTGTCGGCCATCACAGTGTCGGCCATCACAGTGTCGGCCATCACAGTGTCGGCCATCACAGTGTCGGCCATCACTGTCGGCCATCACAGTGTCGGCCATCACACTGTCGGCCATCACAGTGTCGGCCATCACAGTGTCGGCCATCACAGTGTCGGCCATCACAGTGTCGGCCATCACAGTGTCGGCCATCACTGTCGGCCATCACAGTGTCGGCCATCACAGTGTCGGCCATCACACTGTCGGCCATCACAGTGTCGGCCATCACACTGTCGGCCATCACAATGTCGGCCATCACACTGTCGATCTACCTTAACGCCTGTGTAAGATGGGCTAAAGTTTTGACTTCCTGCTGTACTCGGCCATCACAGTGTCGATCCACCTTAACAGCATCTGACATTCAAGTTGTGCACTGAGAATTTCACAACTCCCATAGCCGCCGCCAGTGTAAATTATTAATTCCCCATAACAAAATGTGACAAAGAGTCGTGGAGACGTCCTCGCTCGGTATGTGTGTGGTGACGTCGTGTGAGGAAAACAGACTCGCTCTAGCGAAGGTTAAAGGGAACTGGGGGTGTAGTTTGGTGGGAGCTGCATTCCTGAATACAGAAGCTTTTGTTTCTAGGTTCAAATCTTATATCGAGTAATTTTCACGGAGTTTTTCACTACAGCACAGTTCCATGGACTTACTAGTAATGTTACCATGTCCATCGTTGGAATGTTTTTTTTACATTAACATATCTTAGGTGTATTAATTAGTTTTAAAATAAATTAATTAGGGTTGATAGCACATGCCTGACACACAAAATTACGTACCTTATTAACCGTACCCTTTTCAGAAAGCAGAAGAATTTTCATATTAACCGCTTTATTTTTAATTTTTTTCGTTCACCTGTTTTTGAAAATCCGTCTATAATACTATTAAAATCCCGTCAGTCTGTCTTACAAAATGTAGCAATTTTCAGCTGTTTACACATATCAAGATATGAAACAATTGTGTTGTAGGGGAGATGACCGTCATGTCTACATAAGAAATGAAAAGGGAAATAACTTGTCCACGCCCTCTCCGTGAGGTGGTGCTGCCGGGTGTTGTTTAAAATGGAAGGGTCTCTATGGGAGTTTGAATGGGTCTGTTTTAGAGTGGGACGTGACACTTGTCTTTTAAAATTTTGATATTAAATTTGATCCCTGTGAATCGGATTTTAAAATGTTTTCTCCTCTCACTTCCCCGCCCCCCACATAGGAAAAAATATTCCTCCTAACCTCTGCTTGCGATAAGTTGTTTGTACCCTTTGCCATCGATACTTAGTTCTTTGCGTGGACTTTTAAAAACTGTGCACGCTTGTCTGGCGTCGCCATCTTGCCAGTCTTTGACGTCCCTGGAGACAGCGGCCCCGACAAAGGGAGTCATTTGTCCTCTCTATCAAGCCCTTTTTTCTCCGGCCGTGACAGCAGCATAAGGGAACCTAATCATTGTCCTCGGTGTCCGGGCGTGCCCCGAACGCCAGGGCTCATGAAAACTCCGCGGCCTGGACGAGAGCTCCCACCGACTGCTCTCCTCCTCCCCCATGACCCAACAATGAACGAGACACTTCTAATCAACTTCCAATCACCCGGCTACAAACAAAAGCTCTTTTCCTAACTGAGCACCGGACTCCCCAGGGGCTCTTCATCGTCCGGAGTTATTTTTTTTCCCCTGTCTTGTGTCTCACAATATTAAATGCTCTTAACTTTTTATCTTTCTTCCGTTGAGCACATCTCTAGAGGTGGCTCCCGTGTAGGTTAGATCTGTAGTGAGAAAATGAGTCCCTGTACTTAGCGGTTAAAAAACAAATCCTTACACACTTGGTACTTCGTCAGTTTTCTACCTTTGTATATAGCATTGTCTATTCTTTCTTTTAAATTAACTATATACGCATGAAATAAAGTAGGCCTATTCCTATAGTTAGGAAACAAAAAACGGAGCATCAGTGAAGTTTGATGTGGAGCCGTCCACTGAAGTCTTCTGGTCGTGACAGTTTGGAGAGGGCACAGATTATCTTAGTGCCCGGCATCAGGCCCTAGAGAAAAAGCCTGTCTTCATTGATTTTCAATGACGGCTTATTTTCTTCTCTTTTTCTCTTTCTCTCCCTCCCTTTTCTTCCCCTCCCCCTCCTCTGCTATAACTTTGGGGCTATAAAGAAAGGAACATAAAAGGGGTAGCTATTGCCTACATTTTCTGAGAAGCTCTAACCTCTATTTAAGCGTCAGTGTTGGCTAATTCCGGTAACTGCATAACTGCAACGAATTCTCATTCCTCATTTACACTAACAGCGAGGACAAGAAGATTTCTAAAGCTACAAAATTTGTCTTCTTTTTATGCCTAGTACATTTAGACATTAACTTTGAGAAATGGAAGATGGTTACATATCCCACCATCAGTCAATGCTATCTTATTATGTTTTGTGTCTGGGTTTTTTTTCTTTCACTGGTACTTGAACTTAATAATTAAGTTATGAAACCTTGCAAGAGGTCACTTCTGCTAATGTTAACACTTTGCTTCTCATTTATTTTGATGACGACACACATGAAACTGGCCTGTTTTGACTACTACATTTCACTGATCTACTCTATTAGAGGCTCGCTGATCAGTAGCTTTGTGCACGGCCCCGGTATAATCCCCACTCCTGATATGAAAATTACTGGAATTAATTCGCTCCATGTCAATAATTAAGAGTGAACTAGTAACCCAAGGGCAGATCAGCCCCTAATATACTTATTTACCAACTGTAAAAGCCCTTGCTCTAATTGCGATACCTGCATATGACGCTGCATCTCTAGCAACTGGCTCGGCTTTTGTGTTCGGGATAATCGTCGACTCTATGCGGGCACCGAACGTCTAATTAATCAGTGAATGGGGGGAGGGGCGAGACGGGATATGCTTAATAATATAGGAAATCCCTATGGTGGTTGCCTGTAAATACAAACAGGATTTGATGCGTTGATTGTGTCGTGGAACTGTTCCGTGATGTCAGGTCAATGTTTTTAAGTGCTTGCTCCAGCAGTCAGTGTTTGGTTTTTCTTTATATATTTTACGTTGTGTAGATCTCTCCACCGCTACAACATGGTACCTTACTTTATTTTATACCTCATACATGTACATATTATGTTCCATGGGAAGTGGGTAAGGTATTGAAGGGTATTTCTCTTTGATCTTTGGATGCTAAAAAAGTGGCTAGTTATCTGTGAGCAAGGAAGAAGTTTCTATTTTTGGTATCTGTTGTACAACACTGCCTTATCACAAGCCACTATCGAGTGCCTACCGCGGCGTTCAGGAAACACGAGCCCAAACAGGGGCAGTAAACAGTTGACACCATATGGTGTGCGATACCAGACAGATCCTGTGTTGGTGTTTGCTAGTCCCCCAACGTTTGCCCGTAGTTCTAGCAACACGCTGCAGTTATATTCCAATCAGCACATAGTATCCCCCTAGAAACAATATAACGTGTCATTTATCAGAGGATTGATAACTGTTGGTAAAACTTTGATATCTCATAACGATTTCATACGGCGTTTTTCATTACAACAAAGGCAGGCCAAGTTGGGTATCGCTTACATTTAGCAACAAAAAGTTTTAATTAAAACTAGAGTAAGGTTACTACTGCACACAAGTTCTGTTAATATTGATGATGTACTGAGACGCAAAATTAATTAGCAATTTATGTTGTCTTCAATACCAGACATTTATTTTTAACACTGCTTGGTTTACTAATATAAAAAATATTTATTTAACATTTGAAAACCTTTGTTTACAAATTAAAGTGAAATAAAAAACAATGTCGTGTTTATGTGTATACAAGTCCCAAAGGTTGAACCCAGGGCCTGTATCATTGTGCACGCTAGAGTCAGCTATGTCGATCAGGTCGTGGAGAGTAAAAGGCATGCTCCAATTCTTTCAGCCACGCCCTCCCCTCCCCAACTATCCCTTGATTAAGATGTAACACTCCAGTTCCCCGTGTAATAAAACAGTATCAGACACCTTAATGACGGGAGTAAAAAACTTCGCTACAGCCACGAGACTCAGATCTTCAAAGGTAACTCACGCAGTACGACCCCCAATAACCGCAACAAAGACTCATTATCTCATCTCAAATATATGACCGTCATTCTCCACTTGCCGGCCCTCCCACTGCTTCCCAACAAATTGTTTTTCCGAAGGTAATAATGAACAAATGTTTTCTCCCATTTTCTACAAGATTTACTCGCTTGAGAAAAAATCCTCGTTGCGGCATTTAATCTCCGGATTCTGATTCAATTAAGAGCTCAGAGATGAAGTTGGCACATTTACCGCGGCAACGGCGAGGCTCCCTCTAACGGGAAACTGTTATACAAAACACATGAAGCTTGCCCGTCTGTATCCACGGGGAGGCGCCGCTTAAAACAAATGGAGTTTACAGCCCCCGACAGAGCGGAACGTAGGTCGTGCGCCGGTTACACCATCGAGATTTACTGGCCAGTGACAGCTGATTTCGTTTTGCTTCGTTCCCAGAGTCCCGGCTCTTCACCCGGCTCTTGCGCTACCGGGCTTCACCCCCCCCCCCCCTCTCTCTCCCCCACCCCACGCCCCTACTGTGCTTGTGAACGCTTGAGGCGTTTAGGATGTAGTGCCTTGGCGGAATCCCCCATGGCGTAATGATAACTCGGGCTCCTAGCTGTATCACCGGCAAGACGGTGGCGCCGTGCTGAGGTGAGGAGATAGATGCTTTTTTAATATCGCTCCTTGCCGCCTAAACATTGCATGTGTTGTTGATTGCGCGGAGAAAATGAACAGATTATCTGGTTTTAATGCAATAACTCACAACAAGCTTTCCCTCCCTTGTTTTCTCATTTCCCCATTTCCCGTTAATTTTATGTCCGTATAATTGATTGAAAACATTTCATTTCCTTCAGCTCTACGTAGGTATCCAGGTCGCGCTTCTTCAAAGACGTGCTCAATGTTATATAGCACAACTTAATGAGGAGGGCGGGTCCTCCCTTCCATTATACTCCTTGTCTTGACTGTCTGAAGTATCCCCGTCTAGCTTGCGCTCTCATTCCTTGTTTGTTATCGTCAAATATTCAAAACGTTTATAAGATGACTGATCCATGTAGTATTTTTGAATGAGTGAATTAAAAATAGTTGGCTTATTTAGTTTTCGATAAGAAATACGTTTGTAAAATAGGATGGTCTCTCGAATGCAAGAGAATTTCACTAAAATTAGAACACAATTGCTGGTCTGATTCCTCTATGTAGAGCAGCAAGTTAGACGTATACTGCCAATATCTATTGAAGCAACATTCCTTCCAGTACTTCAGTGACCCACGGCTTGTAGTCCCCACCTAATGTTGTCCTCTATGTTGGCAGGTGATCATCCAGTCCGGGCAGCCCCCAACTGTCCTACAGCAACTGTGTGCCCTGCCAGTTGTGACCCACGGCTTGTAGTCCCCATCTAATGTTGTCCTCTATGTTGGCAGGTGATCATCCAGTCCGGGCAGCCCCCAACTGTCCTACAGCAACTGTGTGCCCTGCCAGTTGTGACCCACGGCTTGTAGTCCCCCACCTAATGTTGTCCTCTATGTTGGCAGGTGATCATCCAGTCCGGGCAGCCCCCAACTGTCCTACAGCAACTGTGTGCCCTGCCAGTTGTGACCCACGGCTTGTAGTCCCCATCTAATGTTGTCCTCTATGTTGGCAGGTGATCATCCAGTCCGGGCAGCCCCCAACTGTCCTACAGCAACTGTGTGCCCTGCCAGTTGTGACCCACGGCTTGTAGTCCCCCACCTAATGTTGTCCTCTATGTTGGCAGGTGATCATCCAGTCCGGGCAGCCCCCAACTGTCCTACAGCAACTGTGTGCCCTGCCAGTTGTGACCCAAGGCTTGTAGTCCCCATCTAATGTTGTCCTCTATGTTGGCAGGTGATCATCCAGTCCGGGCAGCCCCCAACTGTCCTACAGCAACTGTGTGCCCTGCCAGTTGTGACCCACGGCCTGTAGTCCCCATCTAATGTTGTCCTCTATGTTGGCAGGTGATCATCCAGTCCGGGCAGCCCCCAACTGTCCTACAGCAACTGTGTGCCCTGCCAGTTGTGACCCACGGCCTGTAGTCCCTATCTAATGTTGTCCTCTATGTTGGCAGGTGATCATCCAGTCCGGGCAGCCCCCAACTGTCCTACAGCAACTGTGTGCCCTGCCCTTCCAGTACTTCAGTGACCCACGGCTTGTAGCAGTGCTGTTGCCCACCCTGATCTGCTGTTGTTTCAACAACAACAGCAACCGTGACATCCTGGAACAAGAACTCAGCTGTGCCTTGTTGGCCAACTTTATAGAGGTGAGTACACGTCAGGCTAACTTCTAGTTGTTCTATCATAAAGTATACAAAGATTATCCTAAGTTATTGGGAAACATTCTTCATAGCCAAGATTTTAAAATCTTAAGTTCCAAATGGCAGCGCGATAGAGCTCTAGACTGCTAACCCAAAAACCTCGAGTTCGGATTCCGGGCTGGAGTCTTCGGACGTTCGAGTCCACTCAGGTCTGATGGGCACATGACACCTTTTAGGGAAACAAAGACGACTTGACTTGACTACTGTCCCTTGTATACCAAGGTCATTGAAACAGATAAACTCTACTTGGGCACAAAAGGGAAAAGATGATAAATTTCCCTTTCATATTGTACATGTCATTTTTAGGTCTATATTAGGTCTGTACTGTTTTATTAGCTGGTTGTTTAAAAGTATTGTGAGATACGTTATGCTCACCCTCCTTTACTTTTCCTGGTTTGGGTCAAGTACCTGGGTGGCCTTGAACCACTCAGCCCAAATTGAAAATGAACTATTCATCAATCCATATTAAAGACTACAAGAGTTTCAGTTGTAGTCGATTGATTTGTGAACATATTTGTATGTTAGAATTCAAATGGAAATAAAACTGAACTAATAATTAACTCAGATATATAAACTCAGCTGTTGTACTTCTTTATGAAAACAGTCATACACAGTTATTTATTTTAAAAACATCCTGATATATAGTACTGTTATTAACTCTTCAGAAAGAATTGCCATTGTTTCCATTTAGGCTCCGTATTTATTTAACAAGCCATCGCATGGCTGCTTGTCCACACCAACCTAAAACTGATCAACTCTAGTTGCCGATCACTTAACGATTGTCTGTAGCTAAAACTGATCAACTCTAGTTGCCATCACTTAACGACTGTCTGTAGCTAAAACTGATCAACTCTAGTTGCCATCACTTAACGACTGTCTGTAGCTAAAACTGATCAACTCTAGTTGCCATCACTTAACGACTGTCTGTAGCTAAAACTGATCAACTCTAGTTGCCATCACTTAACGATTGTCTGTAGCTAAAACTGATCAACTCTAGTTGCCATCACTTAACGACTGTCTGTAGCTAAAACTGATCAACTCTAGTTGCCATCACTTAACGACTGTCTGTAGCTAAAACTGATCAACTCTAGTTGCCGATCACTTAACGACTGTCTGTAGCTAAAACTGATCAACTCTAGTTGCCATCACTTAACGACTGTCTGTAGCTAAAACTGATCAACTCTAGTTGCCATCACTTAACGACTGTCTGTAGCTAAAACTGATCAACTCTAGTTGCCGATCACTTAACGATTGTCTGTAGCTAAAACTGATCAACTCTAGTTGCCGATCACTTAACGATTGTCTGTAGCTAAAACTGATCAACTCTAGTTGCCGATCACTTAACGATTGTCTGTAGCTAAAACTGATCAACTCTAGTTGCCGATCACTTAACGATTGTCTGTAGCTAAAACTGATCAACTCTAGTTGCCATCACTTAACGACTGTCTGTAGCTAAAACTGATCAACTCTAGTTGCCATCACTTAACGACTGTCTGTAGCTAAAACTGATCAACTCTAGTTGCCGATCACTTAACGATTGTCTGTAGCTAAAACTGATCAACTCTAGTTGCCATCACTTAACGACTGTCTGTAGCTAAAACTGATCAACTCTAGTTGCCATCACTTAACGACTGTCTGTAGCTAAAACTGATCAACTCTAGTTGCCGATCACTTAACGATTGTCTGTAGCTAAAACTGATCAACTCTAGTTGCCGATCACTTAACGATTGTCTGTAGCTAAAACTGATCAACTCTAGTTGCCATCACTTAACGATTGTCTGTAGCCAGGCACCATTTGGAGACAATCTCAGCAATTAACCTACCTCCCCGTGTGTTTGCTCACCTACACTCTCACTTTTTTCTTACTCACTGTCAATCGAATGCAAACATTTGGTATCTCTCATGCTCTAATTGTCCTGGCACCCCCACCCCCTGAGATACCCCCGTGAAAATCTCCCGCAATACCTGCTTCCATTGGATCCGTGGCAAGCCAACAAAATGACACACGGTGGGCCTCAGTAGCCCGGGTATCCTGGCTAAGTGTGGGTCCTGCCAGTCCACGGCTTATCTCTGTGTGAAGCGCTGTCAAAATACGCCTGTATGCTTATTCTGCATGTGTCAGATCCCGGCCGTGCCTTCTACTGCTCCGCCTAACCTGTGTTCTCCCCATCCCCGCCACCGTTGATGCGCCCCCCTGTTTATTTTTCTGCTAAGTAGATGTTTTACCCCGTGCCAGAAACCCGAGCCCACTGAAAACATCTCTAAAGAAACGACCAATCTTATACATAAAGTTGAAAATATCTGCCGTTATTTAGACAGAACACACAGCGACACGCCTCGACCACTCGACACCCTACCTGACTTTTGTTTTTCAGCATGAGGCCACGGACGATGGATTTTGTAATAGCGTTAAATAACTCTGCAGAATCTTGTAAACACAAATGTTTGAAAATCTTAAGATTATTTTAGATTATTGATAGTTGTATGTAAAATAATTAAAGAGGTGTAATTTTTTTGCGCTAATTATTGTACAGTAAACACCAGTAGTAAAGAATCTTACGTGTGTGTATTTAATTTTTATTTTTTTTACCAAAGCAAATCATTTCAAAATGGTAGTTAGCATTTACAAGACTTAAAAATGTCCAACGAGGTCTTTTGAAAATATGGACTTTTCAAAATATACTAACAGAGGGTTATGTTCAAATTGCTAATTGCTACAATTTGTATTAAATATGTATATAAAATATGATATGTGGAATAGACAATTTGATTAAATCCTGTAGTTTAACACCTGCAAATAATAAATCATCTGGGTGAGGGGGAATTCCGTAGCTGTCATGTGATGTAATCGTGTAGAACAAAGAATGGGATCGAAGAACTCGAGAAGACAAATTGTAGGAATCTCATAGCGTTGTATGGTGGTGTTGTATCGTGGGTGGTGGTGTTTCTGTGTGTGGGGTGTGCTGTTGTGTTTGTTTCTAGGTAGGAATGTGGGGTGTTGGTGCTGGTTTCTGATACTTTCTCCACCATTTCAACTCTACTCCCCCCCCCCCTTCCCAGCCCAAGCTCGCATTGCTCAACCAACACGTGCATTGTGTGCGATGCCAGGCGTACTTGAGCATTGTCATCTTGCTCACACGTTTTCCCGGCTCTTGTTTTCATGAATGAGAAACTTGGTGTCACTCATTCCTTCCCCCACCTCACAAACTTCTCGTTAAAGAAAACTCTTCAGTTGTACTTTTTTTTTAAACCGTGTGGAGCAGAGACTCATCCCACACAAAACAGTTCATAGAAGTAAAGAAAAAAAAAAACCTCTACCCCTGTATTATAATTACATGTATTATAATTACATTATCACACCCACGGAGGTGGCTGGAGTCTAGAGGAATCTACATGTTCTTCGTTCTATTAGATCATTTTGTTTTCTATTACACCGTCTATATTAAAGACGAAATCCTGTTATATTGTATGAATACGAGCAATTATATCTAATTTGTTTGTCGGGGTGGGGTGGTTTGTTTACAATGTTAACTTGCGTTCGTAGTGCAGGTATATTTTTTCTATTTCTTCACGTTCAGTAGCAGAGGGGAATGAGAACGACTCCCGTGAATTGGCATTTGTATGGGGATAACTTCCCCTTTACGTTAACATATGCCACGTGAGAATTAATTTTCTCAATACTCGGGGCTGTAGTTGTGTAATTCTGTTCCAGTTGTGTGGGATTGTGGGGAGGTTCTTTATTTACTCGAGGGTAGGATGCACGGGGATGTAGACACGTTTCTCGCTGGTGATGTCATACACACGGTACCAGTTGTACGACAACACCCCCCCCCCCCCCCCCCCCCCATTCGCCAACACGTCGAGTCGTTGTTATGAGGCACCATGACTTGTACCGGGTTGACTTGACAACAATGTTGTTGTTGGCTGGGCAGCATCATTTGTACCGGGTTGGCTGGACTTGTAGCTTCATTTGTACACAGGTTTGACTTGACAAAAGTGTTGTTGTTGGGGCACGATTTGTACCGGGTTGGCTTGACAACGGTGTTGTTGTTGTAGCATCTTTTGTAGCGGGTTGGCTTGACAACAGTGTTGTTGCTGGCTGGGCACCATGACTTGTACCGGGTTGACTCGACAACTGTGTTGTTATTGGCCAGGCAGAATCGCTTGTACCGGGTTTTACTTGATGTGACTGTAGAGGCAGTCATATCATTGTTACCCGACTCCTCTAAGATTTTGACTCAGTCCACCAAGACGCAGCCTGCCTCTGATATTTTGACCCAACCTTTAACTTTGACTCAGTTTTCGAAGACAGCCTACTTTAACTCTGTGATTCAGTCCTCAAATTTCCACAACTATTAGTACTGTCACCGGGCCGTGAAAGTTCCACAATAAAATTAAGTTTACAAGCCGGCCGAGTTTTTCCCCTCTCCCCCTTGCCTACAAGGAAGTAATTGGTTAATGCAACCCTTACGTTGGCGCGGCCTAAGAGAATTAAGACGGGTAGTCCCGGCGAGCGGAGTTCCTCCTCCCTGACGTTAGCCCCGGGCCGGTGCGGTGATTAAATTTTCACTGATTTCTGCTGTAGCTAATGACATTAGTGGCTGGCAGGTTTGATTGGAATTCACCCTGTCAGCGGTTAGGATTTCTCCTGGAGCCCCGGGTGATGACCTGTCTGTGGGTATTTAACTCCCCTCCCTGTGTGCAGGCCGGGCACCCCCACCCCAGCGGGACCCGCCCCGTGGAGGGAGAGATCTTAAAACAGTTAAAACACATCAAAGTGACATTGATTATTACACGTTCCCGGGGAAGAAAACAAGCTGTCTTTTACTGTCAAATTTTTGGGTTTTATTACTTGTTTTTTTTTTTTTAGTCTGATGAAGTAGCAGATGTTATCAGTGTGAAGGTTTAATTGTTGGTAATGATACACTTTCTATTCAAGCCAGCCCTTGTGTCTGGGTGTTCCCATTTTTTAATGTGATCACTGCTTGTTGTTTTTCCCCCTACTATAGAATAAATAGAATAAAGTCTACAAACATGCAACCTCACACCCACACACACAAAAAATGTATTAAAAATTGTAAAAAATAAATAAAAAATAAATAAAAATAACCTGTTCTTATTCACAGCTAGTTTTTTTTTTCCAAATCTTACCGTATTATTTATTTAGAAAGCAATATTTTTACAATGGTTATTTTGAATGTATTTTTGTCCTCATTATGACGTGAATGAAAAAAAGTGTAAATAGAGAATGTTTTCTCTCACAGGAGAGACAGCTGGAGCTCCACCAGTCCAAGTTGATGCCGTCCTCCGTCAAGAAAAGTAAGAACCAAGGTTTGCATGGTGTGGCCTTAGTTGCCAAACCTTTTCAGTTTCTACCCTTATTAGTCTACTTACCCTGTTAGTTCTCTTAGACAAATATTTTTGTTGACCAAAAAAAAAAATGTCAGCCGGCTGTCTGCTGGTGGGGGTGTGTGTTGAGATGACGGAGTGACAAATGAAAAGAAGAAGTTGATGAAGATATACCTTCATTTCTCCTGAATGAGAAAATATTTGTGTTTGGGCTGATTGTGGCAGTTACACCCAACTATTGCCGACTAGATGTTTACCAAGGCTGAGCTTCTCCTATTTTTACCTGAATCAGGGGAGGGGTGGGGAGGTACCCCTCCCTCTTGTGTCAAACCTTACCCACTGGTATTTGCCTAATAGAGAAGTTAGGGGGATCATTAATTTTTTGATGATTGGTGGGAGTATGTGCAGTAGCAGCTGGAAAAGTAAACACTGGGGGGGGGGGGGGGTTTGGGGTGAAAGGTGGTGTTAGGGGGGACTGCCTTGATTATAGGTGGGGGTACTGGTATCTGCAATGAGAAGGGGGTGTCTTCAGCTGGGGCTGCAACTAATGTAATGCAACCTGCTGAGTTGCTGTGTACAATGTAGATACCTAACAGCCATTGTATACAAGTAGTGGATTAGCAACAGATTAGCATGGTGTGGTTATCCCTGGTTAGGCCTGTGCATGCTTTTTTTTTTTACCCTTTTTTTATGTTTGGTTTATTTTTAGGGTAGATCTTTTTATCACAGACTTTCTGTTTAGTTGTTTGTTTTTTTCTGGCAAATTTATAATCAGTCAGCCAAAGACAGTACTTAACTAATACAACTTTTCAAATGCTAGAACAAATTTGCTCATTGTTAATGCTTTACACTAGATAAAAGAAGTAAAAAGTTACTGCTTTATGTTTTCACTAGCATTGTGATTATCATTATGCAAACTAGGTGGCACTCAACACTTTAAAGTAAATCAATCTGGTACAATACACACTTAATCAATAAGACAAAAGAATCACCTTCAGATTTTTTACTCTCCTCATACATTTCTTGATTTGCTGAAGTTTTCATTAGACAACCTCACCAGTCAAACACATTTTTCTTGCTAGTGTTTAACTTTCAAGTACAACAAACCAAACTATGCTGTACTAACCATATGCTGGATGCAAGTAATGTCTAAAGTGTTGATGACTTTTGTTTTTTTACTTGAACCAGATAACAAGGAAATCCGTGACAGTGAGAACAGGATGGCCTTCACCTTGAGGTTCCCTTATGACATGTGGGAAGCTGGACAATCCTATTTTAACCTGGCGTCTTGACCTCTGGTTCCCAAAGATTTGACTCTCTCCACTCATGGCATTAAAGAAGTGGCGCCATCACCTGTGAGAAATGTAAATGACAGGAGAACCTAATGAGTGATACGTTTGTGTTGAGAGAGAGCTAGCAAGAGAGTTGAGAGAGCTAGCAAGAGTTGAGAGAGCTATTGAGAGTTAAGAGCTAGGGAGAGTTGAGTGGGATGTGGTTGCTGATAGTATTGCCAGTGGTTTGGCCAACAAGTTGTGATAATTGTCCATAGCATTGTGTGGGTGACTGTGGTGAAGCCACACACTGGTTTGTGGGGGTAAAGATGGATCTGAAGATGTGTGTCAGTGTCGAACTCGTCTACCTTTCTTTGATGAACTTGCATGGCACACACATCACATGACTAAACAGGCCTATTTACATTTTTTAACATTTTTCTTAGTGAGATATTATTTGACCAGCACAAATCATTGATGACAGGAAATCCAACATACTTTCACAATGTCTTATGCCTTATATTTGAATTTTATATACTTGAATTGGTTGCTTCAGTTTTGTAAATAACAATTTTCCTGATCCAATTTTTTAAAATTATGTGTTTATATTTTTGAGCTGCTAAGCTTAAATAGATAGAGAGAAAACGGTTTTGTAATTTGTGGGACAATGTGGTTGAATGGTAGAGTGCAGCTTCTTACCAGTAAGTCAAGAGTTCGATTCCTTCTGTTTACCTTGTTGTAAGAGATACCTGTTGGAATCAGGGGAAGTAAGGGCTACTAGGTGTCATGCTGACCACAGTCCATACCTATTTCATAGAAGTTAATGAACTTTAGGTCAGAAAAGGGTACTTTACTCGTTTTAACATGTGATTGAGATTGGGTTTTTTTTTCCAATACATTCTTTCTCAAAATTATTCCAACCTAGTAGTATTTTGTTTTTAATGATGTTGAACTTATTTTTTTAAAGAACGTTTGTAAAAATGTGATTAGATCAAACTGGCCATTACATCAAAAGATTTACTTACCGGTTAGTAAGTTTTATAAAATGTAGAGCTGTTAGAGCTCTTTGATTTGTTTAGTAACTCTTTGATAGAACAGCAGGGATGCTACCTTAACTCTTAAGTAGAGTAGGGGCAGTAGTGTTGATCTGTAACCATCAGGCTCCAATAGGTCTATCCATCTTTGAGTTTGAGCAACTCAAGTCGGCTAATTATGAGTGGGAACCTCAGCTAATCAAGCTCTGATCATTAGAGTTTGGTTTCCTAGAACTCAGTCCCAGCATTTCTGTGATACCTAACTTGTGTCATCTCACCTGTCTGTTGCCAACATTCAAAAATATTCTTTTTTTATCATTTATACTTCGTTTGATCAAAAACTTTTAAAGAAACTATTTTTTTATTATTATTTAATTTACACTTAGAAAAAATGCACCGTTGTATTCTTTTATACAGGTTTGAATTTATTTATTTTTAACTTTTTGAGGTACAGTATCATCATCAACAGTACCATTTCATTTATGTGTTTTTAAAATATTTGTATTTTTGTTTATGATAAAATCACATAATCATTTACACATCATATCTTAATTTATAAATAAGGTGTTTATATTATTTTCATACATTTTTTTTTTGCTTGCCTCTAATGGAACATCCACAGATTATGACTTACCGTGGTGTAGAATTATATTACTTAGTAATACATAAGTAAGCAACAAAGTTACATCATAACTTAACCATCTGCCACCAAAGTTGTTTAAGGTCACTCATACACCTTATATACACCTGTACAAGGTCATTTGATGAGGACTAAAGAATACCTACAGTATTTCACCAAAGCCATATTAATTTAGTTTGTTTTATTTCAAAAGGTGGAAAGATGATTTTACTTTTCCATATGCACGTGTGTTGTGGTAACTGAATGATTTTTTTTTTATAAAACAATAAAGTGACTTTTGCTAAACAGTTTGTGTTTTTCTTGATATCTTCTTGTGCGTTGGATCTAACTTGCATTGTAGTAGTAGGTAAACATTTTTTTTCTCTTGTTAGCGGTAGAGAGCTGGACTGCTAACCCGTAAGTTTCGAGTTCGAATCCTGGTTCAAGTCAGTAGACCGTCCCTGAGTCCACCCAACTCTGATGGGTACCTAACTCACGTTAGGGAAAGTAAAGGCGGCTGGGCATAGTGCTGAACACACTATCTCTTCTTATGCCGAGGTCACAGAAACATGTGAACTCAACGTCACTTGCCCTATAGACCGTCAGGTTTGAAAAGGGAAATTTTACACAATTTTTAGACAATACTGAGGTTAAAAGATGACGATGTCAATGGAGCATGCAAACATGACAGAACACAGCATTGAGAGGGTTTGAACCACCCCTGGCCCTTAAATTGTGTATATAAGTATCTCCGTAGACACCCCCCACCCACGTGGTTAGAGGGACCGCTACACCGACTATGGGGACGGCATGCCAGGGGGGTTAGAGCACTTGACTGCATGCCTGAAAGTTGAGCGTTTGGATCACGTACTCGTGTTATAAGATTTCGCCAAGTCCACCCAGCTCCTTCTAGATATCCGAGGTTACAGTAACAGGTAAACTCTAATCCATCTGCCCTATAGACCGCCAGGTTTGAAAAGGTAATTACACCATCACACTCTCGCCTCCAATCACCAACCACAACTCCAGTTTGTCCTTTAAAAACGTGACAAGCATTATTTAATTGTCAAAGTATCTATTCGCTTCATTTTTGCGCGTCTTTATTTTATAACTGAAATGCAAATTTGTTAATGGGTATAAGGTTGCTATTATGGTGCAGGATTCCTTACTTGTGGTTTTGATACACCGACAGCCTAATTTAAAGCCTGCACCAAATGTGAATAAAAAATATCAGTACCATCGTCTTACTGCGTAAAACGTCGTGTTAACCAAACCTAAATATAGAACGACTACCTTTACATGAACAAATAAATAATTAACGTTTTTTAATATAAATGAAGCTACTACTTTAACATTAATGAAGCGAATACTTTGACATGAATGAAGCGAATACTTTGACATGAATGAAGCGAATACTTTGACATGAATGAAGCGAATACTTTGACATGAATGAAGCGAATCCTTTGACATGAATGAAGCGAATACTTTGACATGAATGAAGCGAATACTTTGACATGAATGAAGCGAATACTTTGACATGAATGAAGCGAATACTTTGGTTATTAATAAATCTAGTATGTTCAACCAGTTGCCTTTCTCAACAGTTGTTACCCCCCAACCCATCACCACCACCCTTAAGTTGTTCTCCCCCCACCCCTCTATACCACCCCATCTAGAATGCCCTGCAGCCTGCTATAATTGCCTGTAAGACTTGTCCCATTGAAGTATTAACCCTCTCGTTCAACTATACAGATTGTCTAGGTCAAAAAATGTAGCTATCGTACCAGCTGAGATAAGAAAATAAAACACGAAAAACCCTACCTCAATTATATCGGGATTCTGAGTTCATTTTTAAAACTTTCCCACGAGCTAGGGGTAGATAATTTTAAATGTAAGTAGGGGGCCTACTAATTATTTCCCTTTATTTCCCTTTCGCATTTACAATTTCGCTTGTATTGTTCTTATACAATTTTGAGTGTACAAATTGTTCTTATAATAATATGTAAAAAAAAATTGTTCTTGGTAGATGTACGAAGTTTTACTTTCACAATATGTTGTTACTTAATGTACCTCGGTACAACAGATCGCAGAGCATACATTCTTGATGTCCCCACAGCCACATAGACGCCGGATCAAATGGGCGTGGTGGAATGGGAATAAAGGGCGTGTGTGGCGCCCGTCTCATCGATTCCTAGTATTTGTTTTCATGTGTACATGGGTACACAACAAAACTTATACCCCTGTTAACAACCGGAGTCGTGGAGCGCCGACAAACACCCAGCTCTTTTCATTCGGCACGGAAAGAAGAGCGTTGATAAAAATGGCTCCTTAGCAACGGTAAGCGTCGGGGTTTTTTTTTTTTTTTTTTTTTTTTGACGTGGGGGTGGGGATTTCCGAGTACAGTATAGTGTAGACTCCCACTTTCGCTGGCCCGCGGACGTGTCTGACCCCCGGGGGCTTGTGCAATCGGGTGACCAAACAGCGCCGGTGGGGTGAATGGGGAGCCCGGGGTATCAACCCAGCGACAGTCGCCCAACAAAACTGAGGGCAAACACACGGCAAACTACGTCACCTTCGAGTCGCCGTCTGAGCCAACACAGACCAGCGAGACAAGTGCAACCAGATATTTCACAACGACGGTTCTAAAGTTGCAACCCTAATGGGTCCTACCGTTGATTTAATTTTTCTCAACATCAATATTTTAAAAAATTGTAAACTTATTTCAATTTATTACAATGCAGGTAGTGTTTAATGTATATAAAGTTTCCTCTTTATTAATGATACGTATAATAAGAAGCAGTTCTCGAATGTTCTGTGGCTAGATGAGAACCTTCGACCCCAGGGAGACTATAAACTGCACGACGTAACCTCAAAAAGACAACTCGGTTCAAATAGCAGATCTAGAATTAGATGTCGGAGACTTGTCTTGTTTGCTTAAAGTATTTGTAAATCAGGTCAGACCCAACGGCCCTAAACACATTTTCCCTAAGGTAAACAATATATATATATATATATATATATATATATATATATATATATATATATATATATATATATATATATATATATATATATATATATATATATATATATATATACTAGGCATACTGCCTAGCTTCGCTTAGGTTTTCAAAAACATTGGAGAATTCCAATACTTAATTATTTAGTGACGGCTGAGGTGTGGAGTGCTTAAATTTAAACAGTAATGCTAATTACAGAGCACGTGTTGCTGAATGTTATTAACATTGAAAGTACGCAATTTATGACTAAAATGGAATTAGAACTACAGAGGTTTTATGAACAGTATATCTCATAATTTATATTACATTGACTTTTAAAATTTATTTTTTATTTAATTCTGATACGTAACTTAATTAACAACTTATAGTTTTACTAAAACAAATGCTATACTTTGTCATTTTATGTTTCTGTTTAAAATAGTATACACTTATTTGAAAAATAATTATTTAAAAAGGTTACCTCCCTTGAAAATGGACCAAATGACGTATGTCTTTGTTTACTTTTTTTACTTTCTCGTATATACGTAGTATAGAGAAAGTATTGTAATCGTGCAAAAAAAAAAATCGAGATTTTTACAAATCTCGACGTTTTACACCTCACTGATACGGAAAAACATAATTTTGCAATCTTGTCCGTATGTCTGTGTGTGTGTGTGTCTGTCTGTCTGTCTGTCTGTCCGTGTGTAAACACGATAACTTGAGTACCGTTACAGCTAGGTTGATGAAATTTCATATATAAGTATTTTATCAAAATCGTAGATCCGTATCAACTTTTGAGCGATTTCCGACAACCGGAAGTGGTACTTTTTCTACTTTGAATTTTTCAAAAGCCTATAACTTGAGTACTATTTCAGATAGATAAATGAAATTTCACATGTAAGTAAAAGATCTAATTCTCTACCTTCTGTTAAATTTTGAGTAATTTCCGTTGACAGGAAGTAGTAATTTACGCTACTTCCGATTTCTCAAAAAACTAATGTAAATTTTAAAAGTAATAATAATATTGCGCACTATTATGCGCTTTTTTATTTCGCGTTCACTTGGTGTGCAATTAATTTGTCTACGAGATTTTATTCTATTTTTAAAACTTTAAGTATTTAAAATGGATTAAAAATCATGTCTATAGCCCGAGTTCCCATCCCCTGTAGTTTTATATAAAAATATTCGAGAAAGTTTAGGGGAGATCACTCTCGGTTTATTTTAAACAAACAGTTGCTATGCATATATAAGAAAATACGATATATGAACATATTTAACGACTACAATGGCATTTTCCGACGGGAATAAAGTTTTTTCGTTATCCTCCAGGGTCCACGACCTCAAATAATATTAAGGGGATCGTTCGTCAATTTATTAGTATATATATCTCATATAAGGAGAATTTCACTCGCGGTCATATTTTAGCTCTGGTCGAGGGCTTTGAGTCTGAACAACAGGTTTTCCATACGGCCTAGTCATCTATAGAGGTGTATGCAAAACATTAGCATGATATACAGAGGTTAAGTAACCAAAAAAATGTGTTGAAAATTCCCTGTTTTTCCCATAAAATACAAAGATTATATAGGGAAATACAACTGGTCAGTTTTGACCCATTTCCCGATTTTTCCCGGACATGGCGAGTTTTTTGTGACACCCCAAGGCGTTCTCCTACCATCTCACAAAATTTCAAGGGGGGTCGTCGTCGGAAATTTTTTTTCGTAATAGAGCTCATATAAAGAGAATTTCACTCGCGGTAATTTTTTAGTCCTCGTCGAGGGCTTTGAGTGAAACCGACAGGTCTGCCCTACGGCCAAGCCATCTACCTATAAGCATGCCAAAAATTAGCCAGATGTATAGAGGGCAAGTGCCATAAAATCCGTTTTGAAATTACCCTCTGTTTTCCCCATAAAATACAAAGATTATATAGGGAAATACGACTGGTCAGTTTTTACCTATTTCCCGATTTTTCCCGGACCTGGCGAGTTTTTTGTGACACCCCAAGGCATTCTCCTATCACCTCACAAAATTTCAAGGGGGGTCGTCGGAGGAAACTTTCTTTCGTAAAATAGCCCATATAAGGCGCCGGTCAGTCGAGGTCAGTTTTGACCCCCTTTCTGTAGACTTTTCGGCAAACCGTCACCGGCCCTCGTGTTCTATCGCCCCAAGGCACCATCGTATATTGTGCAACCGTCAAATCGTCTTCAGGACAAGGAAGCTAATGAGTGATATATTACACCCATATATATATATATATATATATATATATATATATATATATATATATATATATATATATATATA